TGACAAATACCTATGAGTGGCAAGACTACGTCGACTACAGTAAGAATACAGGAAGTAAGAGACGGACTGATACTTGAAGACAGACTTCGGTATTAAAATATAACTAGAAACATACCCAACACCACATCCACTGCATTAGACATAACTTGTCAAAGACAGAGATCAAGCGACCGACTTGCCAGTAACGGTCTCGTGGTACGTGGCCTCGGCCTCGACCTCCTTCTCGACCTGCTGCAGGTCAATATGCGCAATGGCGTCGTCGCCGTCGAAGATGCGCGCCACCTCCTCAAGGGTGTTACCCTTGGTCTCGACATAGAAGAAGTAGACAAAGACCAGCTCGCAGAAGTTCCAGAGGGTGTAGAAAAGCATAAAGTTCCAGTGGTTGGGGAGGTTGTTCCAGGCGAGCATGTTGGTCTGGTTACCAAGCGCAAGAATGGCCTGGACGGTGAGGTTCATAATCATCATACCCTTGGCACGGAGCTGGAAGGGGAGGATCTCGAGGGCGTAGGCGACCAGCAGACCGGAGAAACCAATGTCGTAGAAGACTCCGAAGAGCCAGATGAAGACGACCTGCGCGTAGCCAGAGCCGGTGTTGGTCTCGCCGGAATTTTCGTAGACGGCACCGGTGATGGTCCAGCACACGAATGAGCCGACCATGCCTGCGACGGGGTTAGTTTTGATGATGGAAAGGACGAGTTTCAAGGGAGAGACAAACCGGAGATCGAGGTCAGGAACAGAGGACGACGACCGAAGTTGTCAACCTGAAGGGCGGCGGCGACCGTGACAATGATGTCAAGGATGGTCTTGCCGGTGCTCAGGGCCAACTTCTGGTTCTGGCTGGTGATGCCGGCCCCCTCGTAGATCTGGTTCATGTAGTTGGAGAACAGAGCATTACCCGAGTACTGCGAGATGACACCCAGAGAGATGATGATGGCCAGACGCCACAGGTTACCCTTGGTGCGCAAGAAGTCAATGTAGCTGCTCTTCGAACCCGCCTCCTTCTCCAAACGGATGGTCTCCTTGATCTCACGGTATTCGAACTGCACGACGGTGTTGAGCACGTCGCCACCACCGTGGTATTTGGTGAGAACAGCGAGGGCCTCTTCGTGGCGCTCCTTGTTGATGAGGTAACGAGGAGATTCGGGGATCCCTTTGAGACCGCTCCGATTAGCCATACTTTATGAATAAAGCGGGTACCAGAGGATAACTTACAGTAGATAAAAATAAGCTGGATGACCGAGGGAACAATCTGCAGCAGCGTGATAGACCGCCAGGACCACTCGCTCGCGACGTATGAGGTACCCCAACCAATGACGGAGACGAGCAGCGCACCGGCGTTCCAGAGACAGTTATAGATGGTAGTAACGGGGCCACGGTGCTGAGGATGAACGATCTCAACAAGCAGAAGGGGAGAGCACATCTGGGCCAGGCCGTTGCCGAAACCCAGGATGAATCGACTAGCGATGTACATGTTGTAACCGTTGGAAGCACAGCCGATGACACCTCCGATGACCATGAAACAACACCCGATGATGATGGCGATTCTACGGCCGAAGTGATCGGCAATGTGGGGACTGGAGGTTGGTGTTAGAATTTCCTTGCGCATGACCAGGGGCCTGGAGAACATACGTGATGAAGAAACTGAGGATGGCACCAATATTGAACATGTTGACCAGGAGACCCAGCCAGTTGCTCTCCTTCACCTTGGGGGAGAAGAAAAGGGTCCAGTTGTCCATCATCTGCGAAGTATTGACAAGCATACTACACGATCGCATTAGTTCTGCAGGTCTTTCTCCCCAGCAGAGTAAGATACATACCCATCGTAACCAGTGGTGGCCGAAGCAACCATCAGCGCCGCCGACAGCATGTACAGTTTGCGCAGGTGAGGCTCTCTTTTCCAGTTGACTTTCTCGAACTGGGGAGCCTCAGCCTGGGCGATCTGCACCTTTTCCTGTGCGCCCCTGGCGCCGATGTTGGCGATCTGAACCATTGTGACTATGTTGGAAGCAAATGCACCTCTGGGACGAACACAGAAGAACTGATCAAGAGCGAGAAAATGGCGGGGTAGCAGCTACATATTATAGCACTCCATCTGGGGAGAAACACGAGGATGGAGCACGCAGCCCTTGTCCCGACTTGGTCAAAGCTTGGGACGAAGCAACGCATAACGAAAGGGCTGAAGGGAAAAATATGGACGCCACCAGCTGACATGAATGATTGGTGTGATGGAATTGAGCCGGAGACTACCCTGTCTGGGGGACAGTGAGAACGAGCTGGATAAAAGGGGTGTTGCCGGCTGGGATCAGAAGGGACTAGGCCAGCAGTGCCCATGAGGTGATTGGATTGATGCAGCAAGCCAAGGAGTGTCTGGACAAGCTAATATCACGGCCAGAGCGCTTGGCGTCTCGCTTGCGTCGATGGTGTTTCGGCTGGACGGGCCGCACTCTTTTTGTCCATCTTGTCAGTCTGTCTGTAGTTTGAAGAAGTTACTGAGATCGAAAGATGTGTATGTGATGATTTTGTTCCTGACATCAAGTTATTTTGGTATGTTCTCTGCTGATCCGACAATCTTCTGATATCTGAAGAAACGGAGGCCAGACTGAATTTCTCCGTGTCCGGAGACTTGGCCTTTTCGTTGCTTGGGCAGTTAGTTCCACCAGCCCCGTGTCCCTCCCCGGATAAAAGAGCGGATCTTCAGGATAAACTCGAGCAGCGAGGCACGTCTTTGGTTAGTTCCCCGGGTTGAGTTTGATCCCCGCATTCTTTTGTTGGAGCAATTGAAATCTTTTCTGTCCTTGTGCCATTCGCCTTTACCCTGTCAGCTCAGCCCGTCTTCAGCCGAGGCTTAATTAGTGAAGCCCTTGCAGCCACCCTAGCCTGTCTCCAGTGGAATTATATTTAACAGCCTGTACTATTCAGGTCTATTGATGTCGAGATGCTCCAGCCTGGTGCGACCTATCATGACTCTGCCAGTCATGCCATTTCAGTGTCGAATTCGGAATATATTCACGAACTGGCTAATACGGTATTATCCAATCATGCGTGGGATTCTTCCGGTCAGAAGGAGGCCAATTTTCAATTTGAAACAGTACATGTTTCCGTACCCTGTGCTGATATCTCCTCATCGGTACTTGCCACGAGCCACCCAAAGGTTAACTACACTGGTCAAATGAGATTCAGTAGTGATATTACCAGGGTCCTAGCTCCTCCCCAACATGAACCTCAGCGATAAATCAGAAGGGTTTACGCCACTGTTGGATTTCCAAGCGTGACTCAACAGTCATAGTTCACAGTAGGAATGAGACTTTGTAATGATTCTTGCTCGCCACGGGCCGTTACGCCGGCACAGGCAAGTCGTGCACGTACACCGCGACATTGGGCCTCTGGCCTATTGTCCTGTAGACCTTACCTCTCCACACAGTGGCGATACGGTAGATTAAGCGAACATTGCTGGTCGCCTCTCGTTGAGCATGTGAATTTTTAACCATGTGGCCCAGCGATAGTTACCTGGGTGCATGATCGGATGGATCTCGGTTAGAGTCCAGGTCGCATATTGCTCGAGAGTCTGGCCCGATGAGGAGGACAACCGGGAACCCGTGACAGACACGGCGCAGACTAGTCTAGAGAGCGCAGGCATTTCTTCCCCGGGCCAGAAGAGCTACTGGTGACCGGTAGTTTGCTGAGTGGAGCTGTTTTTAGGCTATCAGAACAGCTGACTCTGACAGCTTCTGTGGCGATTCTGGGTGGATAGGTCAAATACAATCAGGCAGATTCTGATTTAGGCGACTATTGGACCAGCAGTATATTTACGTTTCGGCTCTGGTGACTAGTCCAACGCAGGGTGTTCGGGATGTATCCATTCTTTCTGCCATTCTGGATGGATTCCTGCTTGCTCGTCTCGCTTCTTGGTCCCTGATTCCCTGTCGGGCAGCCACAGGCCTCCCGTATGGCAAGGTTCAATCCCAGTTTGGCGGCCCTAAAGGTCTTGACTCCAGGACAGACATGAAGACATGCACCAATAGCATACATCATGTAATATTAGTTCTGTTGGTAGGTCTGTGCGACGATTTCAGTACATTGTCTACCGCTCAGTCAGGCAGTAAAGCTCCAATAACAGATTATTTGGCCCCCAGCACCCTAGAGCAGCATATCTGCAGACAGGCCGACAAGGAAGACAGCTGTAAGCAATATGAGGCGATTCACAGGAAAAGCGACTAACCGTCAAATGCTTGTTGCATTTGTTGGCACCAGTCTGGTCTCGATTCTATTAACATTGAAGGCGTTGGAAGAAGCCCGCTTGATCGGCAATGATGGACCGGTCGCCCATCCCTCCATCTTCCTGTCAATCGATTTCATTTTTCGGAGTCGATCGCCGGTCTGCCACGTTCGTTGGATTAGCTGATAGTCATATCCCGTCTCATCAGACTGGCATGGCGCATTGACATTTCACGAGCCTCTCCTGACTCTCCTCATCTCCACATCGTCGGAGGGAAAGAATGATTGGAAGACCGTGAACATCATATAGACCACAGCTAATTTGACACAGCGAATTTGACCTCCGGTGAGAATTCCATCCGTTTAATTTCAAGCCGAAGGTGGTTTTGTTAGGTTTAAGGAATGCATTGCTTACCACATGCATCAATGTCTCATTGCTGCATGACCCTGTCAGAGCTATTATTGTAGACCCTTTGGGCTCCATTTCTTTCAGAGACAAACCTGTACAGCCGACTAAATCTGTTATCTTTAGACTACTTGACACTTTTTGTTTGACACCTTTGCCGCTGCGATGCCTCTCAGACACGACTCCAAATCTCTTCGATCCGCAAGTGGTTTCCGGTGTCCTTCGAGGTCGATTCCTGGACGACTTGGTGGTACTTCATATCCGATATCAATTCGATAGATACAATGATTATACAGACTCGTGGTATTATGATCTCCCACTTATAAAAAACACCGCGTGAAAGACACTGCAGTATAATCTCATCTCACCTCAGCTCACCTCAGCAACCTTTTTGAAGATCCCCACGGTCGTCTCGCATGGTAAGCTTGCACATCAATGAGCCCCTCTCGCATATCACAAATACCTTCTGATCCTTCCAATCGCGACTGTCCTTACACAGTTCCAGGTCGAAACTCCAAAGGACCCGTGCAAGTATCACCCGCATCTCAATGTAAGCCAAGTTCCTGCCGAGGCATTTCCGTGGCTCGATCGAGAATGGCTGGAAGACGGCGCGATTGTCCGAAAAGAACGGCGATGCATGGTCCTCAATCGCCTCTGGTAGCCATCGTTCAGGGAGAAATCGGTCGGCTTGGTGGAAATTCCTCGGTGACGAGTATGCGGACAACGGGTGGACAGAGACCTTGGTCTGAGAAAGTCAGTCTCGGCCCGTTATATTCTCAGTAACGACCTACATTCGCAGGAACGCGGTAGCCCGAGATCCAGGTGGGCACTTCCGTCCAGCGCTGGAGTCCTCCTAGTACAGGAGGATACAGCCGAAAGGCTTCGTTCAGGCATGCCAGCTTGTATGGCAACTTTGCCGTGATCTGATTGAAAGTGATATCCTTCTCCGATGCAAATGCTGCTCTCACCTCGCGCATCACCTTATCAAGCGCATCCGGGGTTCGAAGAAGCCAGTATGTAACGCCGGACAACACCGTAGCCGTAGTCTCACTCCCAGCCAGAATGAGGACATTAGCATTTTCTTCCAGCTCCTCCTGACTTAACCCCTTGATGCCGCAGCATCGAATCCATAAAGTCTCCGCGACCAGCCGCCGAGCTATTCAACCTTTTATGAACAGTCGCCTTCGCATGCTCGACCTGCTTGCTTCTCATCTCCATTAACGATCCCGGGTGAAACGCGAGAATCACCCTGAATACCACCGGATACAAATGCAGCGCCCGCAGGAACGGAATGGACTTCACAAACCCAAACATCGTCGCCACCCCGTGATGATACTCCGCACGATCCAGCCCCCCAAACGGCTCGCCGAAGCCAAGATCCCCGATAAGGTCGAACGTCGCCAGATTATACCACTTGCCCATATCCGCCGCCCTCCCCGACTCCGCGAACTCCTTCAGTCGCTCGTTCAGTTTATCGATGTACCGTGCGACGAGGCACTCCTGAGCCTGCAGGCCCTTGGCCGAGAACGCGTGCGACAGCGCCTTTCGGAACCGAGCATGGTCCACGTCGTAGGCACTGAAGATGTCCTTGCCGTTGATGGTGGAGATTTGCACTTCCGGGAGCTGGCGGTGGCCATGGCCGTAGATATCATTCCAGGCTTCCGCGGTGGTGAAGGTGACTTCGTCAGGACCGGAGCGGACGACGTCGCCGTATTTGTTATGCCAGGAGCGAAGGTCTAGGCCTAGTCTTCCGCGGATGGCTGAAAGGTGGTGGAAGAGCGGAAATGCGATCCGCCATTTTGGGCCGGGGATATGGCTTAATGGATGGAAGTAGATGGTTTTGATGGCTGATAGGAGTATATATGAGATATAAAAAGCAATGACGCAGCTGCGAATATTATGACCATCATGACTTGTTACGACCGCAAGTATCAGTTTCCAAGATCTAGTCGGAATTTCTCAGTCTGAAAGCTTCTTGGATTGCGTTGTGCAATTTCCAAGACGTCGCACATGGCAAACAGGGGTCTGTCAAGCCGCATAGGTGTGATAATTTATTGGGCGCCATGCATACAAAAGAGATGACAATCCCTGTCCCTGTAGATGCTTGGTATGAAAAGCTGTACCATTGTACCACCGGCTTGGCCAGCAATCAGCAGACACATAAGCACGTTGTTTCGCATTCTTAATGGCGTACAGTTGAGCAACGTCTCAAATGTCTGCTATGTAATCCCTAAATTCAAGGGCTTGACACTCCTTCACTCTCGTATAAGCTTACTAGCAAGCCCTTAATCACTAAACAGGTATTGCTTACTTTAACTGTTCCTAGCCTACTCACTAGTCGCGCCGATTACCCTAACCACATATACAGTAAAGTTGACACATCGCTGAACCGTAACCCAGACATATATGACTTGTACCACGGTACATGTGGACATAAGTGAGCGATCTGCGGTATGCCTGTTAGGTGGTTTCGAAATCTGCAACTATCCTGCGTCGGGATGCGCAACCGAAGGCAGATATCGTCTGAAAGCCTGCCTCAGAATGTAAAGATGTTGTCTTATTGCTTACGAAGGAATATATATTTCTGCGACGAGCTGATACACGGAAACTTGCAAAGAACCAAAGATACTATCGCACAACTTCCTAACATTATCGAAGAGCTCCACCTACCAGAGACGCGCTCTACCACGACATGGCAGCCCAAAGAACAGCTGTTTAAGCGATATGCTCCGCGGTCCCCATATTTACCTCCTCCTCCTTTGATATGTACTCCCGCTGATGGGCAAACTCTGTCCATCACATTAGAATAGGAGACACTGAGGAGGGGAGGAGCAACTTACGGTCCACCTTAGTATACTTGAACTTTCTTGCATGGACACGGTGGTGGAAGAGCAAGTCAATTTCTCCAAAGGTGCGGTCCTTGGTCTCAGGAAGGCGGAACCAGCACCAGATGTTGCAGAGAAGGTTGGTGCCAGCGTAGAAGAGACCTGTCTTTGCTCCCCAGTTCCATGCTACAATGTCCATGGTAAGTAATTTCCATACAGTAAGGAGTGGTGCAGCTTACCAGAGGCCGCAATCATGCGCGGCGTAAGCGAATTACTGAAAATACCTGTCAGGTTGTACACGAATCTCCCGATCACAATCGTCTTATATCTCAATCGCCCCGAAGGTGTTTCGGCAACGATGGGGTAGCAGACGGGTCCGACGGTAACCATGTTGATAAGAGTGCAAATGACCAGGAGGATGCCAATGGCCAGCTGTGCGCCCTTGCTGCCTTCTGCGAAGCCAAGACCACCAATGATCACCATACAGACAAACATGAACGTCAAGCCGCTCATGTAAATGGTTGCGCGGCCGAAGTGCGGGAAGAGAAGCCAGCAGATGACGCCGCCGATGATATAGCATGCGGAAAGGGAGATGTTGACATCGAAGGCTTGCAGTTCGGTAAACCCAGCGGCTTCGAGAAAGACGACCGAGTAACCGAGGATGGCATTGCCGCTGAGGGTTTGAGCCGCCCAGACGACACAATTCTAGTAGACGGGTTAGCACCACCGCCATTTTCATCGTAATGAGCAACTTACAATTTCCGTTCGCCGCCGGTTGGTCCCCTTGAAGCATTCCAGAAAGCTTGCATTCTCCGTCTCCGCTTGCTCCAGTTTCGTGGTATGCTGGATGTACGCCAGCGTCGCCTCGATCTCTCGGTCTTTTTCCGGCGTGTCCTGTCGCAGGCGTTTCAGGCTCTTTCTCGCCTGGTCGACCTTGCCCCGTCGGACGGCATTCCAAGGCGATTCAGGAGCCAGGTACGCTCCTATAAACAGGGGAATAGGCCACACCCACTGCAGAACAAACGGTAGCCGCCAGCCTAGGTCTCCTTCGATGCCAGCGACAGCACGGACTACACCGGACGACAGCAGGATACCAGCACCCCAGCACATGCAGACATAGGCTGTGACGTACGGCCGTAGGACTGTGGGGACAACTTCGGAAGCATACGTAGTCGAGAGGGTCTATTAACCGAGTCAATATTATACATGCAACAGAGGAGGGAGACGAACCTGAAAAACTCCCCACGAGACGCCGCACATCGCCTCACCCCAGGCCAGGATCGGCAGCGAAGGCGCAAAAACCGGGATGAAAATCATAAGCGCCATCCAGGCCATGAAAAACATCATTGTTGGTCGACAGCCAAACCGGTCCTGGGCGTAAGCGTTGAGGAGCAACCCGGTCAACTGCCCTACCATGGACGAGTTCGACAACCCCGACTGCCATGCTGCTGTGATAACCTTTTTTCCTGCCTTGTCTGAGAACTCGCCGAATCGTTCGATGAACTGGGATTGGCCGTAGAAAGAGGTGATCTGTCAATCCTCGCGTTAGCTTCCACTCTTCCTAATGAGGGGAGAAAGGAGGTACTGACAATGACCAGGTCATACCCCTCCATAATCAAACTGGTAGAAAGGAACATGGCCCAGAAGACGGCCTTTTTGTACTTTGACAGAGCTTGTCTCACAGTAAGTAAGCGATCAGCAGCATCACTCTCCTGCGCATGGCGGATGAGCTCGACCACATCGGGGTTGCCAGGGCTGAAGTTTTTCAGCTCGTTCTCGGACGGGACAACCGTCTCGTTGCCCATGATGACGGTATCTGGGTGGGATGATCACCGATAAGTTTAACAATTCCAGTGAGTGGAGATAGGAGCTCTAGTGTGCTTGACGATCTGGGGAAACGGGGCGTTATAAAGCCGATGGGATGTCAATCGAATCCCCGCCGGAAGCAAGGAGAAGAGGAGGCCTCAACAATGGCCTCGTAAGGTTTCTCTCCACCTCCCCCGGAATCTCATGGTGCTGCAAATGGCCCTCTCTGTGCCACAGACGTGATGGTTAAATGACTACTAATGTGTTAATAGAAACGGGGTTTCCCGCTGGGTTCTCTCTGCCTTTTTGTTCCCGTTCCGGACCAGAAAAACCATGGATGCACCGACCCCGGATCGTGCGGGGAGAATTCCGGGGGTGGAGTCCCGAAAGATCCCCACTGATATTATGCCATTGAAGAAAGCCGTAGAGTCGCCTCTTATATGGTCAAATTCCGGTAGACATAAAGCAAGGAAGCAGATTATGTTTCCCAACAGGCAATTGCTAAGCTCGTGGATAGCACGAGCTGGAATAATAAAGATCGAGCAAAAAGACCGACGGCACGCATCATCAGGCCAGAATGCGGAAAAGTCCCGGCGGACTCTGAGGTGGTCAAAGCAGCCGATTCGCCAGTCTTTGTAAACGGACATAAGCGTGGTATACTGCCGGACAGGGATCTGAAAGCTATTCGTTGGATGACGTGTCCGAGGCGAACAAAGACGAATATTACCATAAAAGTGTGTTCAATGGCCAAGGCCATCAAGGCCCTACGAAGGCGATAGACCCAGGGTCCGACCGCTATTGTTTGACATCTTCATGCCAGATGTTGATGCAGGTTCCTTACTCGGGGGAAGTGTCACTGCGGGGCCAACTACCAGAGCGTATCCATACTTTCAAACCACTTACAATCGGGAGCAGGACTTCAATCCTCCGTGCTCTCTGGAGCAGATACATAAAGCGGACAATCTCCTGACGAAGACAGGTCCCTATGCTCTTCAGTTTGACTGAGTCAGGTCAGAGTCAAATGCCTCCTAGTTATGTCCTGGCCGCTGACATTGAGTCGAGAGTAATGAAAGGTGGTATGCGACAGCAGCTTACTGAGATCGAGGATGTCTGTATCCTATTTGTCCCTCTCGGCCGCAAGCTACACAGAGAAGTTGTGGTAGGTGGCATCGGTGCTCACCATCAACCTTCTTTACCAGGTAGTCTCCTAGTCTCCAGGCAGCCGCTTGGGTTGTTTTCCGGTTCGAACATTAGCAATCACCTGTCAGCGCTCCCAGCCACGGAAGTGATCGGCTTCATTCAAGCAATCTGGACTGCTTCCGATATCGAAGTCTGCGTATCATTGAAGCAGAACGCAGAAGTGGGCTTCTTGTTGTTTTCCCTAGGAGAAGGGTTTGATTTAGTAGGCGCATTAAATACGGCTTTTCCAGCTTTTGTATATGTATCAAGTTTGTTCATATCTGAGAAACGTCAGCCGCTAGCATATAAAATTACCGGTTCCCATACTGGGCTCTTATCATGCAGACCCTTGTTTGCATTCATCGGACGAAGAAGAACAAGTATCGACTCGTCACATCACTATCAACCAAGGATCTCCCTGCTCCCACACTGTTCCATCTCATTGTTGACAACGTAGACGAGTGTCTCAGTCCTCGCTGAACCTACACGGGCAATCTCCGGACTCTGATGGACCCGTACGGATATGGCATCATCATCACTCTAGACGACTTTGCCGATAGTCGAGCACGGGGTTGATCCCCTCGGTTCACTCCGCCCGACCTTAAGTACCTGCCGAGGTTTTAAGGAACAGATGTCACCAGAGTCAACACTCATCCTCGGTCTTACACAACGCCTTTACGATCTTACCTTGTCCCATATCCCCGTCATAAACATGAAGGCCTCTATTTCTCTCTTTGTTGCTACTTTGGCCGCTAGGTCAGTCGACTTCTGTGCATGATGATCGAGGCCATTACTGCTAGCCTAGCAGTGTGTTCGCGGACTTGCACAACACAGTTATCTGTGTGAACATGAAAGCCGATAAGGACGGCTGCAACGAAGTGGTACGTCGCACCCAGGCCCATACTAGAACAGATTAACTGATGATGGACAGGTTGTTTACGACAAAGGAGCCAAAGAAGCGACTATAAATGCATGCCATTCTTATAAAAGCCGCAACACGTGAAGGCAACAGTGGATCGGTGTCCGGATTGCACAACCAAGGTTCATAATAACGTCCTTCACTATTGCAAAACGGAGAGATAGCACATGGGGGGAGATGAGTGGCATTACTACTGCAGGAAGCACGAGGCGACCGATAGTGTGGCGTGGTGAAGGGAGCTTTGGGACGAGATCACGGGGATTGTGCTTCTGTATATAAGGACCAATTGCTGGAATGTTAACATGCTGATCAGAGAATATCAATATAAGAGTGTATGCAATGCCTCCAGGGAGCTAATCACGAGTGTCTTCAACGTCTTTGAGTCTGTAACAAGCAGCTTCGCACGACCTGCGGACAGGGTGATCTGGTGGACAGGCAGCCTTTGCTGCCGCTAATGCAGTGTCGAACATATTCCGCGCAGTACGCAGATTCCCCTGGCGCTCATAGAGCATTCCAAGAGTAAACATACTCCACAGCGTCGAGGGGTCATCCGCACCCAACACTTTCCGCTTCACATCGACCAGAGAACTGTTTAGTTCTGTCGCCTCGACGCACTTTTCCTGCCATGCCAGCACATCCACCAGGTCCGCCATGCTAGCTATTGTCCTGGAATGTTCAGGGCCAAGTATCCTGGCTCGTCCCTGATACGCCTGTCGGTTTAGGTCTTCTGCCTCGGCGAACGCACCGCGTTTCTCTAGTACCCCAGCCAAATTACTGCACGTTGACAGTGTATTGGGATGATCGGGTCCCAGGACCAAAAGTGACCCTTCGAGGACCTCTCGGTGGATTTCCTCGGCGGAGGAGTGGTGACCGCAGCTCTGTAGCACGTTTGCCAGATTATTCAGTGACGTGAGCGTGTTGGGATCTACAGTATCTAGGGCGTGCTTATCCTTCCAGTGTCTTCTAGTCTCGAGTGCTTGCTTGGCGATATCGACGGCGGCATCCGTGCGACCATGCTCCTGCATCAGGATCGCAAAACTGCTCATACACTGTAGCAAGTCTGTACTATTTTCTCCGATCAGTGCCAGCTGTCGACCGGCGGTCTCCCTGACCAGCGACTCCGCCTGCTCTCCTCTGTCCGTCTCCAGCAGGAGTTCGCCCAAGAAACGTACACTATCCATGGTTTCAGGATGCGTGACTCCCAGGAGGTTCTCGCGAAGTGCCAGTCCATGTCGAAATAGGTCTTCTGCCTCCTTGTAGTCACGTTGAGCCTTCATCACTCGTGCCAGATTCGTCATGCTGGTAATGCTGGAACTGTGCTCTTCGCCATAGTGCGCAATATACGCCCTCACGGCTTGTTCATGCATTCGACGCGCGGCGTCATATTTTCTTTGTTGCTGTAAAAGTAAACCGAAATCATTGAGGACCCGCAAGGTAACAAGGTCCTCGCCGCCGAGGACCTCGTCAGCCGTTTGCAGGATGTTTTCGTACAGTGTTGCAGCTTCATCGTCGCGGTCCTGCTGCTTTAGGATCCCTGCCAGTGTAGTGGCTGTTGTCAAAGTTTCGCGATGGCCATCCCCAAGAAGCTGTTTCTGCCCGGCCAGGGCACGCCGTGCGGTTCCCTCGGCTTGCGCCAATTGTCCTCTCTCCCAGAATGACTCTGCTGCACGGCTGAGGTCTTTCAGACTATCTTCTTGGCTGGCTGCTGCAAACATTTCAGGGGCCTGTTTTTAAGGGTCGACGTTGTGAGAATTTTGATCGGCGATGGAGGGGAAGTTCCTCATTTTAAAGGATCCTCCCTCGTATTCTTGGACTTGGCATCTGTCAATGTTTCATTCACAACTCACGAAGATTAACACATTCAACACAGAGACTTTTTACAAACATGGTAATGATCAGAATCTGTTTTGGATATAGTGAATATTCAAGTTTCTTTAACAATGCGATACCCGGAAAATAAAACAGACCCTGCAGATATTGGTGGCGATGGGCCGGGCTTATTCCATTAACCTTTCTCCCACACTGTCTGATAGGAAGAGAAACACAAGCAGGCAGCCAGGCTCATGGGAGCTCGGGGTAAATAGGGAACAGTTGATAGTATATACAATGCCCGCCTACGGGGTAGGCTGTACGCTTTCATACTCAAGCACACCTAAAGGAAACGACATCCATTAAACAGCATTCTATCCACCCAGGAGTGTATTTTTTTTTATATGGAGACCTACAAGCAAATTCCCCATGTATATGAACATAACAAGATCTTTACATCCCAGCCACTGGCCGATTCAACAGATGGGCAAACTCTTCCTTGATCCCGCTGAGCAGGTTCAGTGTTCGAGCACGATTATTCAACCCACTATTACAGTACCAATCATTGTCTAATAGGAGCTCCTCAATCCCAAGGCATAGTCCCGACCAGTTTACCGCAGTTCCGGCCTTGATCAGGTCGTCGAGTTCAAATAATAGCTGAGTGTTGCATCGTGCTTGCCAGTAAGTGTTGGGCAGGATCCATTGGAAGGCTTCCAGTAGATTACGTATATCGTCAATGCGCTGTTGACAACGAGGCCAAGTCTCATAGATCAAATCCACAATAGTTACCGCAAGATCGAGTGGCAGGCAGGAAACCGGTTTCTGGAAGGTCTTCTGCCCTTGACCGGGATTGTCTTGGTGCGAAGGAAGATTTTGAGTGATCAAGCGCTGTATGTCAAGAATTCTCAATGGACTCCCGGGGTCATGCCACTTCGTGATCTCCTCAAGATCCTCAGCACAGCTCCGGAGTACATAGCCGCTGCTCTGCGGGCCAGTATGGGCCATTATTATATTTGCAGAGCCCATCGTAACAAAGATGGCCTAGGAAAATACCCCAATACTTTTTGTTATTTCTCCAAAATCCTTCGACAGCGCGGAGGAATGCATGAAGATTTGACATGATGAGATCATGTCCAACAAAACGGTCGAGGAGCAGCCAGCAGTGGGATGAATCGGATATCCTATGGGCTCCCCTGCCTCTCGATTCGAATCTGGTTCGAACAGATTCGCCATGTGGAAATCAGCATTCCAATGGTCCTCGTCTAGTGCCAAGTTCTGGATGGAGGCCCTGTGGGGGTTGCGCGGGACGGGGAGTGGCCAGTAGTTTTCGGTAAGCCCGTTTGAGATTCCAGATAAAATCGTCTGGCTTGTCTTCGGATCTTCGAGAACTAGATAAGTTGACTCAATCAGTACGATCATCTCTGACAAGTCTATCGAAGTGACGCCTGACTTGCTCGAAACCAGAACGACCACAGATACGGGTATTTTATAAAGTCCGTCTGCTCCAACTCTTCGGCTGGGACAATCACAGATCGGCTCCAATCCTTGTCCCAGAGCTCTCTCCAGTCCTCTCGCTCTTCCCATACTTCTTCGACATCGCAAAGTGGAAAATCAGCCCCACAGATCACACAGCAGAGCGACGGATCTGGCTTTTCTGGTAAAAACGGGCAACGCCGTTTGATACTCAGCATACCCATCTGGCTCTCTACAGCACACTAACATATGCCTATTGGCAAAATGCGTCGTGCCAGGATGCAAGAAATACATTTGCAAACATCGAGGATGATGTCATGTTTAGCCGTTGAGTGCCCTACAAGATAATAGTGATGTCAATGGATATGAAGCTCATTCATGATCTGGTGACCAACATACTGCTGCAATAGTTAAACTTGAGAAGGACTAGCTTAGCTTAACTTAAAAGCATTCAGTCCCTTGTCGATGCACCCACAATGAAGAGTTTATTTCAACACAGTGTATTGGAAAGATAAACGGAAACCCATCCTTTCTCTCCTGTCCCCAAGCTAGATAGTTAGTCCCACCATATCTATCCCCGTCATTCCTGCAAATGGCAGTCTACAGGTTCTGGTCCTGTTTCCTGTTTCAATCGCTACAGTCGGTGCATCTAGAATCCCAGCCCACTGGCAAGACGCCTACACGGACATACTGAGGTATCGCCATGGGGAACTGCATCTTGATGCCATTTGGTGGGTGAGAAAGCTCGTATTATGTTTCGGATCCGGACATGAAGAGTAACTGATCTGGTGCCCGTGCTTGCTCCTAGTCAGTAGGATTTGTCGGGCTTGCCGCCAAATAAAGACCTCGACACTGTAGTCACTAGGAGTCAGATTGTCGACTGACCGGCCGCTGATCACCCAGATGATTGTCCCTATCAAGTTCTGATCCACGATTAGGGTCCGACCCGCCACAGGTTACTGTAGAAGTGGAAGTGCCGGCAAAGGGAAGGAGATGTGAGCTAGCTGGTGTTTCTGGCCCTACATGTGCTACTTGTACTTGAGATAACCATATGTACTCACATCAGCTTTCTCTGGCTGCCTTTTGCGCCGACCACCAAGTCCGACGTCTCTCAACAGCATGATGGATGAATCAGCCCCGCCATACGGAAGGGACGAACATTGCATAGGCAACCTGCCGTTGTCTTATAGTCCAACTTTGTCGCAATGGTGGTATAGAGGATAATTGTAGACAATTGAGGCCGGAGAGGACTTGGTGGCTTCCATTCAAGTCGCTGGTTGATGGGACAAAGATACAAATAGCCACTCTTCTGACCCGACTGCTTAGATGCGTGACATATCAGCTAGGGTTATACAAAAACAATGAAAGACAAAGCCCCTGGGGCACCATAATCATCTGTTCTGCATGAGGGGAATTCTAACCGTCATTTCCCCAACACAGTGAAGGATGTAGTGAAGCAATCTAATCGGCCTCATAGAACTAAACTTCGCGTAGAATAACGCAAACATGTCCCCAAGCAATCCATGTTCCAATTGTACAGGTCATAAGGGGTCACTCTTGCTATAGTATGTACTTCTGCCAATCATCCGACACGATGCAATGCAATTGTCCCCTGCAAACACAGCACAATAAAATCGCCTGTGTACTTGTGTTGAAATATGCCTCAATGCAAGTAGCTGAAGACCTTCCGGCTAGTTGTCTTACCAGCGAGGAAAGAGTTATCCACATTGGGACGATGTGTTTGAATGTGCCTGGCTCCGCTATGATAGATCCGATAAAGCTATTCCAACTGACTGGTCACGTAGGCAAAGGTTTCAAAACACTTCAGAGCCTCGCCACCCATAATACAAGACCTCGCGAGACGGGCACCTTCCTTCCATCTACCGCCACCGGGGCCCGTCTCTACAACGCCATCCTCTCGCAATGCATCACATACCCCGGAAGTAACAAACAGCGCGGCAACATGCATAAGCACACATTGCAAAACAGGGTCATCAACAGACAACTGATTATGTAGCAACTGCGAGAGAACACAAGCCTCCTGCTCGGAACTACCTTTCGCTTGAATGCTGGCCAGTGGATTCTCCGATAGCCCAAAGTCCCGGGGCTGGAGGCGAAAGTGCTGTATTCCTGGACTGGTGGCTTCGACGGATGGATTTGTAAGCATCCAGCAGGATGTTGAACCCTCTGGAGCAATAATATCCATTGAGTCGTTCCCGCAGACCACGAGGGCTTTCCGAACCCCCATGTCTCGGAGTGCCTGTGCCAAAACAGGACCGAGGACTGGATTCGCTACGCCGACTACTCGGGCCTCCAGGCCGCAGCTGGCATTCAGTGGATGGAGTAATGTGCTGGTTAGGTCGAATATCGTCCTGATCCCTAGTCCCAAACGAATGCGATTGGCGTGTTGCATTCGTGGAAGGAAATTGCGCTCTGGGAGTAACGAATAGTTACTCTGCTTGTAGATTTCGGGGACATGGTTTGCCGTGACCTTTGCAAGCAGCGGAGCGTTCGGTTTGATATTGCTGATGATGTCCTCAGGGTTAGCCGAGGAGACTGGATACGTAGCGCTCAAGTAGCCATGCTGGGCGATGAAGAGTTTCGCTGATGCGACGATGGACGCCATGGCAGCCACAGAAATGACAGCCGTCGCATTCCCTCCTGTTCCGGAGATATCACACTGTGCCATCGGGAAAGTTAGCTCTTATATCCCCCCTAAACCTTTTGGGAGCTGACACTTGCCAGTCCACCCTGGTATTTCGCGCGAGCTAGGTTTCGGTCCGAAATGACCCTGTTTAATGCATCCGTATCGACTTTTGCCTGTGTCGGGGCCAGCAAGCGAATACACTCCAAAATGACGACAATATCCTTGTCCTTCTCCCGGTGGTGCAGTAAACTGAGGACAGCGGCAGCTTGGGTTTCACTAAGCTTCCCATCCAGGAGCAATGACAGAGCGTTGGCAATCTCAGCGACTAAACCTGAGTCTGATGCATTCAATGGTTGCGCCAGCTTTTTTAATGTCGGGTCAATTGACACATATTGTGAACTGCTGGGTTGTGCCATTGGGGGCAAGAGATCTTGGACCAATTTGTCTGTGTTCCACCACTGCTGCAGGGATTGAGTGGTTAGTCTGGGTGGGAAATGTCAGGGCCAGAGCACCCTTTAAATATGCATAGCCCATATGTCTTCCGTAGTATGATAAAACACAACAATATATCTATGACTCATCAATTTTAGACTAACTAGATATGTAAATGGTGATTTGTACCTGGTATAACTAAAGGTTAGTACGGGCGTCAACCATAACTTGCTGGCCGTCTGAGGGTTGATCTTTCATATTCCTCCATTTGAAACGCGTAATTACTTTTTGAAATAATCGAAAGCTGGTGATCAACCACTAGGTGCTCACATCAGGGATAATGTCGTTTGTTACTCAATAAGACTTTTCATGCCTCCGCCTTAGACAGCCATTTCAGAGATCAATTGGCGGCCGTAACTCCTTAATTCTATTCCTGCCTATCCCATCCACTACCTTAGTCCACCTCTCATCGGAAATGAATCTCTTATTAATCAAATCATCCATTAGCACAACCAATACATGACTCATGAGTCAGTCAATAACCAGAAGGATGCATCATTCCGTGACCAAAGGAGCAAAAGAGCCTTCTATATCAGTTAACACCAGGATCTTAGATCTCTATGTTCTCCAACCTTACTCCATAGCTATTGCATGGATTCTATCCATAATCCTTGCTCAGAATTACATCAGGGAGGATATTGATCATCTTACACAACTAACCAAGCATAGATAAGAATTCGAAGCCTCATGACCAATGAATTCATTATAGATGGCTGTCCTCCGTAGCTGACCTGGGACAGTGTGGGAGTCGACTATGATTCCAACAAGCTAAAGCCTGCGATACAAAAACTCTTCAGGGTTTCCTTATCTGAGCTTGACTCTGATTTGAAAGAAAATTGGAAAGGAAAATAAATATACAAAATGAAAGTGGCAAATGCTGAATTAAAGAATCAAGATTACTTCCTCACACTGGAGTAATACATACCACCCACATACCTTATAGAATCGTGCAACTGATTTATTAGAGACTCCGACGCGCCTTGTCCAAGAGAATCCTGAAAAAGGAGCCACAGGGCGAAAAAGGCCAATACCTGTTCCCTGGATATAAATTTTGAGCATAGTACTAGTGTAATTCCCATGCTATGTACATATCAGAGTTAAACATCATATCGAATCAGGCAGTAGTAGATGCTCTGATGTCCCTATGTTGGGGTAGATATTAAAACACAGCATTGATGGCAAATGTATGCACAAAAGGAAAAGCCAAAAAATAATTACAGCTAGTCTTGTATATTCTGAAGGGGTTACAGCCAATAATTTAATTAGAAGAGCTTAAGGAAAAAACGAGACCCCCCAACCCAGCCCTAACTGACTACCTATTTACGGAGCCCAGGGGTGTACCTACTTCCTCGCACACAAACACTTTACAATCTTTTGCACCAAAGCGTCCTGATCCCTAAATCGCTGTGGGAAACTTGGCCAAGTCGCTCGCCTTCAACAGACGCCTCGACCTGAAGCCTCACCCGGTGCCTCCCCCTTGGACACCTTGCCCGTCCCGCCGCCAACACCCGCAATCCAACCCAGGATCGCAAACGGGGCAGAGGTCGGATCCTCAATGATGTCTTGCCACCGTTAGTGCCCCATTGCCCGCTTCGCCGATGAGAAGCGCAATGCGAGCGACTGCTGCGCTGCCGATGAGCGGGCCGAGGGCCTCGCCGACAAAGGGAATAACCATGAAGACGATGCTGAGGATCTTGAAGATGAGGTCCTTCTTTGTTTCTTCCTTAACCTTTTCGCCAATGTCTTTGATGTCCCTCATGCTGCTGATGGCTTCGGCGAGTTGCAGGACGGGCATGGAGTAGGCGACTACTGCGTCGGTGGCCGAGCCATCTTTTGGCCAGTCGCTGAGGAAGTCAAAGTCGGGAAGCTGGCCGCCGTCACAACATTCGTCGGCGTCACCGGATTCGTCGCACTGGCAGGCATATAGAAGCTCATTGTAGTTGAGAGATGCGTGAACAAGGACGCAGCCTCCGTCCTATCAGTTGCATGAACCGACAAAATCGTCGAAGTAGTAGTCACAGTCGACGTGCAAATCAAAGCCGTGACAGCGGCATAGTACATCTGAAATTCAGTAGTATAATTTTATGGAACGCTATTCAATAGGTTGGTAATATAGGAAATAATATGGACGAAGGGACTGAGGGTAATATATGTAACGCACGGTTGCGGCACGATATGCCGGCTTGCTGGACAGCAAAGAGGGATCGAGGAGATATTTCAAATACGACCTCCATCATGGCGAAAATTGCCAAAAAGCTAAGCCTACTAAGCTTTTTTAGTAGTGGCTTTTTTCCAATGCTTGACTGATATGGGCCTTGACACCTGAGGAGTGACTCAGAGATCCCCTTGTACCCACGTGACGTCAGCACCAGTCCCATTGTTATCATCACGCTCCTCCATCATCGCGATTCTGGAGATTTGAATGTTAGCTAGAAGTCAACATGTCCATGAGCAAGGCCTCTCATCTCTGTTTTGCCATCTCTCTCGTACCTGGGACCATATAGCGGGTTGGACCGCATCATTCCGCGTATTCGGGGTCATTCCGGGAATCCCCCGAACGCACGATGTCTTCATGTCTACAAGCAGACCAATCCTGGGGACCGACTTTGCCGACGCTTTGTCATGGAGGGTTTGACTTCACCCTCTACTTTGAACAAATCTGGTTTTCAACCGTACCATCAGTCTTGTTTTTGGTTTGCAGCGGTCCTCGGCTCTGGCAGCTCTGCCAAGCTCCAGTGGTGAGCCGTGAATCGAGGAGCCAACTGATCAGACTGGTAACGCAGCATTTCCCAGCATTTATAGCAGAGTAAGGCTGACTCTCCTTTTCCTTGACTCTATTAGGGCTCTATCAGCTTCCTGACTGTTCTCCAGTTGACACTGCTTCCTCTGTGGTCTTTGAGGACGTCCCTGCAAACGTCTGCTTCCATTCCAGCTGCGGTCTTCTCGTTGGTTGCTGCGCTTATGCTTGCTCTTCTCTCCTATTATGAACACCAGCGATCTGTACGGCCGTCCACGTTGCTTAGTATTTATCTTTCCTTCTCAGTCCTGTTTGATGCCGTCCAAGCTCGATCATTATGGCTTCGCAACACCAATGCCCCGATCGCGGCTACATTCACTGCAGCATTGGCGGTTAAATTGATCATCACAGTCCTTGAAGGACGAGAGAAACAAGCAAGTTCACAGGTACCAGGCGTCAAGTTGTCTCCAGAAACCACCAGCAGCATATATAATCGCACAGTTTTCTGGTGGTTGAACCGTTTGTTTCTCGCTGGTTACAAGGGTACCCTGTGCTTGAACGACTTGTATCCGCTTGAATCGGATATGGCCTCAGAAAAGCTAGGCGCCACCATAGAGAATGTCTGGATGAAAAGTAAGGAAGCAAATTGAGTGCTACAGCAGCATACTAATATTGACAAGCCAAACAAACCAGGCCGTATGCTCTCCTTTGGACAACTGCAGTCGCACTGAAATGGCCCCTGCTCTCCCCAGTGGCTCCTCGTATTGCGCTTATTGGCTTCAAATACTGCCAACCACTGTTGCTGGCGAGCGTGGTCAATTATGTGCAGCTCCCAGATACAGACCGTGACAGAAATGCCGGCTATGGTCTGATCGGAGCGACAGCCATCGTGTACGTTGGGATTGCAGTAAGTCTGAAATCTAGTACGAGAGCCGAAATGGTGCTGACCATCTCATTAGATGAGTAGTGGACTTACAATCTCAAAGTATACCGGTCCACCGTCATGATACGCGGCTCGCTTGTGAGCATAGTCTACCGCAAAACCTTGAGACTACATCTGAATGAAGCGAAATCTTCCGCCGCGTTAACTCTAGCTAGTTCGGATGTGGATCGGATTGGCCTGACAGTTGAAAGTGGCCATGAGATTTGGGCCAGTAGTATTGAAACCGTATTAGCCCTCGTGCTGCTGCAACGACAATTAGGCTGGGCCAATATTGCTCCTGTATTGCTCGCTTTGCGTATGTCTGAAGGCCACGCAGTCTCCCAATATCGCCTACTGACTAGCTCAATTCAGTGGCTACCGCTGCAAATACGCGAATTGCAAAGTATGTTCCACGGCGCCAACGGGAATGGGGCGCTGCGATCCAGAAGCGGGTAACCCTCACATCATCAGTCCTCAGAAATATGAAAAGCGTCAAGATGATGGGCCTGCAGGAGACCATTGCTCGGACGATCCAAAGGGCCAGGGTATATGAGTTGGATCTGTCAAAGCGCTACCAGAGTTTCTTTGCCTACATGGCCATTATCTGTTGGTTTTCCTTTTGCGATCAAGGGCATTTGGACTAATCCTGTAACTCTAGCAACCATACCTTTACAATTCTCTGCAGCGTTAGCTTTTGTCATCTATATATATGGTGTCAAATCACACCATGGGCATGACTCTGTCGCAGCACAGATCTTCGCCTCACTCTCACTGACCCAGCTGCTCGCTACTCCATTGCAAAAAGTCTTATCTTCCATTCCGTCATTTGCGGGGTCCCTTGGTTCCTTCACACGTATCGAAGCTTACCTCCGGCTTGATGATCGTGTTGATAGCAGAGATACCAGCTTTGCAGGTATCCGAGAACCCCCGAAGGAGCCAATTGTACACGGAAACCAGCTTGAATTGGGAAACCTGGGAGCACCAGGGACGAGCACGACTACGGGCAAACATGCAATTTCCGTGCGAGAGGCGGATATTTCCTATTCCGCGTACTCGCATCCAATCCTCCACAAACACAAATTTGAGATTCGGAAAGGTCTTTTGAACGTAGTCATCGGCCCTGTGGGCTGTGGAAAGACCACGCTGCTAAATGCCCTCCTCGGCGAGATTACGATCTCCAGTGGCAAAGTGCTGGTAGATGATTCTCCAATTGCCTATTGCCAGCAAACTCCCTGGCTCCTAAATGCCTCCATCAAAGAGAACATCCTGAATCAATCTCCGTACGACGAGACCTGGTATAAGACGATGATTTGGTCCTGCGGACTGACGGAAGACATTGAACAACTGCCTAATGGAGATTATACCATTGTTGGAAGCCGGGGAGCAAGTCTAAGCGGTGGACAGGAACAGCGACTGGCGCTCGCCCGGGCAGTCTACGCCCGAGCACCGTTAGTCGTCCTGGACGATACCTTGAGTGCTCTCGATGCGCGAACTGAGAAACTGGTTTTTGATCGTCTGTTGTCCAAAACAGGGCTCTTCCAGCGGCTTGGAGCGACGGTCATCCTGGTGACTCACTCAGTGCAGCATCTTCGATCAGCGGATAATATCATTGTATTGGATTCAAAAGGACGTGTCGCGCAACATGGCTCATTCAGAGAGCTTAGTGGTCGAGAGGGACCAGTGCGACGCCTGTTAGCTGAGTGTCCTCCTGACAAGAGCAGTGCGGAAAATAACGCCCCGGAGCCAGCTTCTGGTTCAGTTTCTTCAAGCCGAGCTCAGAGGGAAGCAAATGTGTCATTGCCGCATGCTGCTGCTGTAGAAAGGAAGGCTATATCTGATTCCGCCGTCTTGATCTATTACTTGAAGTCCATCGGATGGTATCGGGCGTCGATATTTCTTCTTACAAGCCTCGCATATGTGTTCTGCATCAGCTTCACCCAGATATGGGTCCAGTGGTGGACGGAATCTAAGAATTCCAATGATGGCTCCTTCTTAGGGGTCTACTTTGCTCTGGCAGTTGGTGCCATTGCGAACTATAGTTCGTCCATCTGGTGCATGATGATCTCTATTGTGCCCATTTCGGCAGCAAAACTGCACTGGGAGCTCCTTGACTCTGTTCTTCATGCGCCCATGTCATTCTTCTCGTCTGTAGACTCGGGGATCACCCTCAACCGGTTCAGTCAGGACATGTCGCTGATCAACAGCCGCCTACCTGTGTCTACAATGCAGGCAACGCCGCTGGCTTTCCAAGCGCTAGCACAGATCGTCCTTATAGCCGTTGGGTCTACCTACCTGGCCATTGCGATTCCCTTCTGCCTCGGTACGACCTGGGCTCTACAACGATTCTACCTCCGCACGTCGAGACAGCTTCGCTTACTCGACTTGGAACTGAAATCGCCCTTGTTCTCAAGCATTTCCGAGGCCCTCGAAGGTCTCCCGACTATTCGCGCCTTCGGCTGGGAGGAGAAATTCGAACGACGTAATCAGGATCGGTTGGACGCCTCGCAGCGGCCAGTCTACCTCCTCTACTGCATCCAGCGCTGGCTGAATTTTGTCCTGGATCTCATAGTGGCAGCACTGGCTATCCTGCTAGTCAGCCTGGCAACTCAGTTGCAGAGCAGCACGAGCGCGGGCCGTCTAGGTGTTGCGATGCTCAACATCCTCGGCTTCAGCCAGAGTTTGTCCCAGTTCATCTTCTTCTACACGGACTTGGAGACGTCGTTACAAGCGGTTTCCCGGGTCAAGGAGTTTGTGGAAACGACCGTCTCGGAAGAAGCGAGCCGCTGGTGTCTGACTGCGCAACCAGAAAACTGGCCTGCTCGCGGCGCGGTGGAGTTTCGTGATATCACGGCTTCATATGCTACTGGCACGGACAATGCTGTGCTCAAGGGTGTCTCCCTAGCCATCCAGCCTGGACAAAAAGTCGGAATATGTGGCCGGACAGGCAGCGGCAAGTCCTCCTTGCTTTCTGCCTTGTTCCGCATGATTGAACTCCAGAGTGCCAGCATTACCATTGACGGAATCGACCTCAGCAGCATATCCCGGCAGGAGGTGCGTTCACGGTTAATTGCAATCCCACAGGATCCCTTCTTGCTCCCCGGGACAGCCCGTTTCAATGCGTCGCCCGACGAAACAGTCGCAGACAACCAAGTCATCAAAGCCCTTGACAAAGTCGGACTGTGGGAGCACGTCCAGATGCGCGGTGGCCTTGACACCGATATTGATATTCTGGCTCTGTCGCATGGCCAGCAGCAGCTCTTTTGCCTTGCGAGGGCAATGCTGAGGCCCGGCAATATTCTCGTACTGGACGAGGCGACTAGTAATGTTGACTGGGGAACCGATGAGGTTATGCAACGGGTTATTCGGGAGGAGTTTGCGAATAAGACGATTATCACTGTTGCGCATCGCTTGAGAACGATTCTGGATAGTGATTTGGTGGTAGTCCTCGGCGAGGGACGTATTCTTGAGGCAGGTCATCCGGGGCAACTGCTGACGAGTCGAAGCCAATTTTGGGAATTGTGTAGTGCTCAAGGCATCACCATTGATAGCATCTGATGTATGGAGCTATTGGGATGATACAATCCATCTGACTGATACATTATCTCAACCGCCGCTTTATACAAATAATTTCTCTGTACCAAGCACAAACCGATGACTTAGGAAATTTATGCCACAGTTCCAAGACGTCTCTTAGTCATATGCAGGAATGATCTCTGCTAGGGCGATAAGAATGGCAGCATCCTTCTTGTGAATATATCGATCCTCTCCAGGATGCCACGAGCGACCGTCCACAGCGCAGAGCAGGGAGTAGATATAAATGGTGTCCCTGCCCATCTGGATCATTATACGTTCAATGAAGCGCGGAACATAAGTCCGAAGCATATGACCGGAATATGGCGACGGTAGAAGCCCATGAATTCAAGGAATGTGAGAACGTAATTTCTTTACAATGCTATAAGAGGAGCATTCCACGCAGGCAAGGTATAATCTGCGACATGGAATCGTTTCATCAAATCAATAGATCTCAGGAAACAAGTGCAAATCCGGAAGCATGACGCATTTGGGGTTGTGGGCCGGTCGGATATGTCTCGGGGAGGCAGACATGTAAAACATGTAATCGGCGCATCATCACCCAAGAGCCCCCATATGGAAGACAACAGCGCAGTTATCATATCTCTCACGCCAGTTTAACAACATCAGATAAAGTGTAACTCCTCGACTTCCACTTTTCAAAAACATACTCCCATAATGAACGACTCGCATTAGTTTATCAATGGGGATTGTACGGGATTAACCGGGAGAAACAATCAGCATTCCGCTCATCCGGATATCTGACTCGGCTTCAGTGTTTGCGCATGCAATCTGACAATGAATCTGCGATAGTACTGTAACTCTACAAGGATGACAGTGTACATGTCTTGGAGCCAGCTTGTATGTCTACTGTCAGAAAGGTCGAGCTATCTGAGCTATCCCAGGCCTTCCAGAGATCGGCCTATTGGCGTCGTCTCAATGATTCATTTTCTGCGCGATTGCACAAACCAGCAAGTATCGATAGGTTCATGACGAGGCTGGATCTCCATGTACCAATACAGCACGCAGCTCAGTCGGCATCAGCAATCAGTGCTGTCGATCATTGAGCGTGTATGCTCGTGCGTGTCTGTGGTTGCCTCGGGTATCGTCATTGCAACCTTTGTCAGCTCTACGGAATTTCGCAAACCAATCAATCGCTTGATCTTCTATGCCTCGTGGGGAAATCTGTTGTCGAATGTTGCGACCCTCATTGCCGAGTCCAGTCTGCAAGGTCATTCCCGAGGCGCGCTGTGCCAGTTCCAGGGATTCATGATACAGTGGTCAGTTAATGCTCATGATATGGCAGGATTCATTCACTGATACTGGTCTGTAAGGTTCATGCCAGCCGACTCCCTCTGGGCACTCGCCATGGCTTACAATGTGTACCTGGCGTTCTTCAAGCATTACGATACCAGGCGTCTAGGGATGCTCGAGTGGAAGTATGTGCTTTTCTGCTATGGAGTGCCGTTTATTCCTGCATTTGTGTATCTCTTTCTCAGCGCCGAGTCGAGGGGCAGGGTGTACGGAGATTCTGTGGTAAGTCCCGTTGCAGTAGTGCTTGAGTGTCGATATTTATCATGATCAGTTATGGTGTTGGGTCTCGTTGCGGTGGGATTTTCTCCAGATTGCCGTATTCTATGGACCAGTCTGGTTCATTGTCTTGCTCATCCTCGCCATCTACATCCGTGTTGGCGCGACCATCTGGCGACAACGACGCGAACTAAGAAAGATCGTCAGGCCGGCCTTCGGACATGCCGCTGACACCACCGTTTTGGGAGACGTTGATCTCCATGGAACAGCCCAACCAGTGCCACTTGATAGCTTTCAGCGGCACTCAAACAGAGAGCGGAGTCCTGCTTCCACTTCTGCTTCATCCCAACGAATCATCTCTCCCGAGGTCTGGTTTACTCAGAATCATGCCGGTCCCCGAAATGCCTCTCCTAGTACTGCAGTCTCTCTTTCCTCCCGTATCTCTCCTGCGACTTCGACTACACTCAGCCACCACAACTACGACCTAGGCCAGTCCGGCGCGAGCACTAGCCCGGCGTCGGAAGTCTACTACAAATATGCCGTTCTCTTCTTTGCGGCGTTGATTATCACCTGGGTACGCGTTTGCCTCTCGTTCTCTACATCTACTGACAGGATCTAGGTCCCTTCCTCCGCCAACCGGGTTTATGCGCTTGCCGCCTCGAATCACTATGTCTTCGGCTTGAGCTGCGCATCGAGCTTTGCTCTTCCTCTGCAGGGATTCTGGAATAGCCTCATCTACATTACTGTGTCTTGGCAGGCCATTGTGACCTGGTTTCGACATGTTGGTGCTCGGGCGCGGCGCACTTCGAATGCCACGCTTCGACCTCTGAAGTATCCCTTGCGTCGTTTGAGTCGGGGTTGACTATGACTTGCAAACCGCGGATCATTGTTGATTTGAGAAGCCTGGAACTCAACAGTGAGACTATGCTTGTAGTCACATTTGTTCTGTATGTCGGGCATGGTCGCAAGATGCGAATTGACCGACGGATCACTGTTCCACATACCAAATACAGAAATATAGTTACGGCACAGGTAGTTATAGGCGTAAGGTACGTAGTTGTTAAAGCCAGCCTCTTATATTAGTAGTTAAGAAGATTACGTGTACTATACCACGGACCTGACCTGACGGTACTCGATCAGCTCCATCAATCCACACTTGACCCCAATTCCGTCTCCTATTCGCCGGGATCTTTTCGCAACCATGAGCTTACGGCGTACTTCCCTGCATCATCCCCAATAGTTGATCCAGTAATCTTGCAAGTAGATTCAGGGCGTCTTACGTGTGTCTTATTCTCTGGTGCTTGGCTTCCAGTCTGCCAGTGCTAAACAAGGCCAGCCATACCGCATGGTCTAATCAGAGCCCACAAACCCCAATCGGGATCATTGGGGACATAAACCGGTAAGCAAGAGTCCACTATTTGGGGGTTGACAGTTTCCCCTTGTAAACGGCCCCTTTCCTCTACGCTCTGGCAGATATGGCGGAGTTCGATGGTACGTCCAGATCCCTCCGGAGGTCCTCACGCTGGCCAATTAAAGATAGAGTTTGCATATTGGTACAGGCGAGTTATATTGTCCACGTCCAGGGATCACCGGTCACCAGTTATGGGCCGATATGCGCAGACCCAGCCTTCTTCAGGAAGAAATCCAGACGATGCCTGCCGAACATCTGCACGATAAGGGTGCAGGATGGCGGGGTATCCAGCAGCATCTGTAGAATGACGTGGAGTCAGTCATGCTCAGTGCATATATCTACGAAACGTACATATAGAAACGGGGAAGAGGATTCCCTGTCTGTCAAACTGGTTTTCTATAAGCTTGAGACATCGTAGATCCTCCTTCCACCCGGCCTGCTAAGCCTGTCACCCGCTTGGCCTGCAATCGATGTCACCAGCAGAAGCTTCGCTGTAAACGGGAAGCATCCTTAACTTACTATAGATGTATAGAAATTAGGTTTAATTGTCTATTTCTTCCCTCTCTACGAAGCAGTACATTTCTTTATAAAATCCATCATGGCCTGCCTGCCTGCCGCTTTGATCGGTATCTCCGTGTGCATGGCCCCAGAGACATCCAATCTCTGCAGTCTCAGTCCAAGTCTCTTGCCCTCTTGCTCCAGCTCCGCAGCCGCATATGGCGGGATGACCTCGTCCTTCTCAGCGGAAAGCAGCAAAATCGGCGGAACCGCATGCTCATGCTCTCTCAGACCACGATCTTGATCCCGCCACCGCGCCATCCGCTGCATGGCTACGGCACTGCTCCAATTGTTCCAGAGAAACGGCCACAGGTACCGATACGGTAGCCACTTTTGCGGATACAGACTGATCAGCATGTCCTTGGTGCTGGACATCGGTGCTTCCAGTATCATTCCGGCGATAGGAACTGCCTGGGTTGAATGCCGAGCCAGGTACGTCGCCGCCGCAGAGCTCGCAATCGCCGTACCCAGACTATGACCCCAGAGCACTATCCGTACATCGCTGTCGGGTGCGCTATACGTCTCCGCTACCCACTGCAAAAAAGCGACCGCGTCGAGCTCGATTCCTATCTGGCTCGCCCGACCAGAGGACTTCCAGTACCCACGATACGACAGGGCGACGACGACGTAGTCCACGTCCCCGCTTGGCGAGTGGATAGCCCGCAAGAACTGCGACAATAGCGGCAGACGCATGGGAGTCGAGCCGCCGTTTCCTTGGAAGTAGCAGATCACCACTAGCTTCTTCCGTGCGGGCTCATGCGGCTGGGCCTGGGCAGACGGCTTCTGGGTCACGCTGCGAGCGGGAGCTGGCATCCGCCCTTCGCATACAGCCAGCTTGGTTCCATCCGAACTTCGAATGCGCTTTTCTTCCCAGCGGACGGGCTTGCATTCGCCTGCGTAGTCGGATATCTGCTCCGAGCGGGCGAACGGCGGGAGCCATGAGATATACAGGAGCTTGTCTTGCATGACCACGATCCAGAAGCATTTCCATGTCCATAGACCCAGTAGCAGACTGACAAAAATTACAGGCGGGATCATGACAGGTGGAATGGCGGATGTGAACAGGCCACGCCTCTGTAATGGGGTTACATGCTGTGGTCTTTTGCGTGATGTGCTGCGGACGGAGTAAAGTGACGGAGGTCCCAGAGGATAGTACGAGGGCCAGACTGGTCTGATGGGACTAATCCCCGGCAGGCTGCGCTGAACGCGCCTAAGAGCCCATTTTGCTAGCATCAATTGTAGCTTCCACCATTTGGAAATGAGGAGGCAATACGGACGCGTGGGTTGACGATGATGATGAAAAGTCATATGATTGATGAGTCATTGCTTACGCATCCGCAGATGTTAAAGCCTTAAAGATAAGGCATGAAGACGGAGATTCCATTGATGCATCCTGATACCATACTAAACATGCTTTGGTCAAGAATTCAAGAAAAGCCTCAAAGAGTCGGGTGCATCAGGGAGGATTCGCGAGACGTTTCCTTTGCTTGAGAGTCTTGTATGAAAACCACGACCCCGCAGCCGTTGCGATGAAGCCGAGAATACCAACGACAATACCGACAATCTCTCCCACCTTTAGTTGGCTTCCACTGCCTTGACCAGTCTTGTCTTCTTCTCCAGTACCCGAGGAAGTAGTCGGTATTGTTGACGTCGACGTTTGGGTTACCGATGGCACCGACTGCTTCGTAGACTCGGTCGTCCGATCCGATCCCTTCTCACTTGTGGACGTCGCGGTACTTGCCTGAGATGTCGAGACTATAGCATCCACAACGGTCAATCTCGTCTTCACAGTAGTCCAAGGACTGCTGGCCGCAGACGTCGACCCCCAGACGCCAGCACCGTCTGCACGACAGTCACCGTTACGGTCGAAGGGGCGATCGGCGTACCTGATGAAGTCGTCCTGGTCGTCTGCGCGGTAGACGTCGCCCTCGTGTACCCATTACTCGTACAATAATCGTCGTATATCCCGACCGCACTGGAAACGTCGATGGCATTCGCGCCGCAGTTGTCACTCACGCATTTCCGGAGGAACGAGTCGGCGGTCTGCTGCAGATCCGAGCGACAGATACATTCATTCAGGATGGGATCGACTTCGCAGCCGATACGTTCTGCGAGGAAATCGGCGCCGCCTTGCGTGGAGGAGCCCCAGTAGAAGCAGCTCTTTGCGCAGGGTCGTTGTGATGCGTAGGCTGTGGATTCGGTGAGGGTAGCTGTTGTTCCGTCTGCCGCGTTGATGAAAAGGGAGCAGCAGAGGAGAATGAGGAGGCTAGCCTTGGGAGTATTGTGGGGGCCTTTTGCAGACATCATCACGAATTGACTGGCGCCGGTGGCCGTTGGAAGAAGCCACTGGACCTGAAGACCTGTCCCGTTTCAGTGAGTCGCCGCTCATAATAAATACTGCGCGGCTGATCCCGTAGCCTCGCGTGGTCTGCTACATAATTTAAGATACCCCTGGTCAGGATATGGCGTTCACACTGGTTGGCTAGCCTTGTCCGCCAAGGTGCTGATATCAGGGCCTGAGCGGAGCAAGGCTGTCTCTGATATGTCGAAAATACCCAGTATTTCACTGCGTGCCAGCCTCGAGTCTTGGCTGCTCGTGTCCTCCCTTGGCCAAGAGCCGTGATGATACGTAGGGTGACGAATCCGACTAGCCTGATAGAGGGGACCTTTGCTTTTTGCTAGTTAGACATGGCCAACAGCCTCGTTGGAGTTGATGTTAACTTTAGCTGGAGCTGACCCAATTCGCCGGATGAGGCCAAGTCTTCATCCGATAGACTTCAATATCATGATGAACAGCGTCGAAATGAGGTTAACCATTATTAATGTGATAAATCATACCCCGATAGATTGTATGGGGATCCCCTCGATCGTCGGCAGTCGGGGTCGGGATGGGGGCGGGGAAATCTCCGCATCTCCATCAACGTCTGGGGCTTAAGTATTGAGGAATTTCCGGAAAGGATACGAAACTCTCTATTTCAATTGCAATCATGCCAAAATGACAAGCAATCGACCACCACCCCACAAACGAGGTATCGTCTCCTACGGCTCCTACAAGACAGGAGGATGGAAGCTCAAAGACATCACTCTCCGTCCCCTGAAAGAAAAAGAACTTCTAGTTGAGATCGTCGCATCGGGAATATGCCAGACAGACCTGCATTTCGCAGGCACAGAGAGCGGAGTCGGTGTGCACTATCCCCGGATCATGGGTCATGAAGGTATACCATCTCCCATAGAACAAGCGCGCCAGCTAAGTGAACATTGTTACAGGTGCCGGATACGTCCGAGAAGTTGGCTCCGGGGTGCAGGTCGCCCAAGTCGGCGACCCAGTCATCCTCTCCTTCTCCGCGTGCAGGGCTTGCGAGCCATGCGAGACCGGCCACCCGGCACACTGTGTCAACTTCAACCCGATAAACTTCGAGGTGGAGCCTGATAACCTTGTGTTTAGCGAGGAAGCATCCACCGCGACGGAACCGAGCATCTACGGACGATTCTTTGGCCAATCGAGTTTCGCGAGTTACTCGATCGTCCGCGAAGATTCGATGGTCAATGTTGGCGGGGTGGTTGACACCAAGGCTGAGCTGCAGTTGCTGTCGCCTCTGGGGTGTGGAATCCAGACCGGGAGCGGGGCGATTTTGAATGCGGCAAAGGCGACCCCGAAGGACCGGGTGGCGGTCTTGGGGCTCGGAGGTGTTGGATTAAGCGCCATTATGGGCGCGAAGATTGCAGGCTGTGCGCAGATCATCGGTGTTGAGCGACATGCTTCCCGTCTGGAGCTGGCGAAGGAACTAGGCGCAACGCATGTCGTGCAGGTTGATACGACGGCGGATCCGCAGAGTATATCGGATGCTGTTTTGGCGGCGACGAACAACCTGGGGGTGAACATCGTGCTGGACACGACTGGGGTCCCCGCGCTGATTGCCCAGGGTGTCAGAATGGCTTCCTTCAAAGGAAAGATTCTGCAGGTTGGCACCGCGCCGGAGACGGGGACGTTGACCATTCCGATTCATGAGTTCATGGTAGCAGGGAAGCAGTATATCGGTGTGGTGGAGGGAGATGTAGACCCAAAGGGGTATGTGCCTAAGATGGTCAAATGGGTACGAGACGGAAGCCTGCCTCTGCAGAAGATTGTCAAATTCTACAAGGCAGAGGACTTTGAGCGGGCGATCCGTGAAATGCAGTCCGGGGAGACGATCAAACCAGTCATTGTGTGGTAGCAATCTTATACGGGGTGATCATCTCTCTAGATAAACAATAAAATAGCTACCATACGAGAAGACTAGAAAGCTCCTCAAGGAGCTCGGGTCAAGACCTGATCTAGGCTTTTGTTGTAGATTAATAGATCTCGGCACTTGAACTCGGCATGTACAGTACTGGATCCTCGGCCCTGGCGGACACTTGAATGAATTCATAAGACTCCCTAATGACTTGGCTTTTTGCTCGATAAGTCATTCCCCGCAGACGGAAGCATTCCGGCGAACCAAGCATTCTTGGTAATCTAACCATACCAGCAGTTTGGTCTGTTTGAAAATGTGCGGAATAGTCCTCAATACTGACGTCAGCCAGCATATCATGTCATCCCGACGAAGTATAAGACACGGGGAGTGCAACCAAGATATCGATACCAAGGGATCTCATCTATTTCATCCAAAAGTTCTGGAAAGCAGATCGACTCATGCCATCAACACCGCCCATTACCTCCCGCCCCGTGGTAGCCATCGCAGGCGCCACAGGGCACCTAGGCAAACACGTTACCTCCGCCTTCCTCTCTCCCCCCTTCCACGCCTACTTCTCAGAGATAGTCCTCTTATCCAGACATGACAACCCACCCGTCCCTCCAACCTCAGAAGCTTCTGGCGCAACGGTGACAGTCCGCAAATACGATGAGGACAACCTCCCTGCCGCCCTGGAGGGCGTCAACGTGCTCGTCAACACAATCGGCGCATCTGGCCATGAGTTCAAAGAGAAGCTGCTCCGTGCGTTACCCTCCACAGGGATCCAGGTCTACTTTCCCTCCGAGTTCGGGGTGGACCATTACGTTCATGACTTCCCGCATGGAGAATGGGATCAGAAGAAGAGGCATTTCGAACTTGCGGGGCGGCTCATCCCGCAGGTGAAGGTGTGCAGAGTGTTCTGTGGGTTGTTTCTGGAGGATAGTATTGGACCGTGGTTTGGGTTTGATACCGGCCGGGGAAGGTATGAGAGTGTGGGGAGTGCGAAATCGCTGGTGTCGTTTACTGGGTTGGAGGATGTGGGGAGGACAGTGGCATCTTTGGCGGCAATGCCGTTGATGAGTATTCCGGGGGTGGTGCATATTGGTGGTGATACGCGGTCGATCGAGGAGATTGCGAAGGTCATGGAGGGTGCAGGGGCGGGACCGATTGATATCACGGAGGTTGATCTGGCGAAGTACAAGGAGGAAACGACGGAGAAGGTCTCAAATGATCCAGCCAGATATCTGCGTTTCCTGATGGGGGAGAATAAAATCAATCATACCGCGTCTGGGCTGGGGAGTGATAATGATTTGGTCAATCTGCAAGAGAAGACCTGGAAGTGGAAGACTATGGAGGACCTGGCCAAGTTAACCAATGGAAGGCCATGGAAGGATGTTCAGTGGCCACTTGAATAGTCATATTGGATGATTCGGTTTGCAGTTTCGTCAGTCAGAGCACCATGTTCAATTCCTATCTCTAGCCTACAAGCAAATATACATATACCAGTTTGTTCATGCAGTCTACCCCAGGAACTTGTACCCGAGCCCATCTAAAGTGATTTATGCACTGGAAGAAGGACTGGCAGACGGCATCGCACCGGAGGGCATCGCCCCTGAAGGAGCAACCCCAGAAGGCATGGTACCATTCATAGCTCCACCACCAGAACCACCAAAGGCCGAGCTGGCGCTGTTCTGGTGTCCACCATCTTCCTCATAATACGCAGCAATGTTGTAGTACGAGTTGTCAGTGTAGTCAGCCGAGGCATTAATACCGATTTGGATCCACGCGAAGAGACCATCCTCCAATCCCTCGCCCAGGTACAGGTACTCGGGGAAGGGATCATACTCGTCCGATGCCTGCAGAACACTCCACATGTCGTCGGCGTTGGTGGTGATAGCCTGCGTGTTGGTGTTGTAAGGGGAGGTATCCTCGACAGCAGAGCGAAGGACCTCGTTCCAGAAGAGTTGGCCGATGTGGGCGATGCTGCCGGTACCGACTTCCAGGGTGCCATTGGCATTCATCGAGGCGTTGAGATGCGTGAGGAGGTGAGTATGCGTGGCACGTCCGTCATAGTGGCCGGGGAAGATGGTGTTGAACGTAGCCACACCGTCGGCATCGGTCTGCTGGATACCGCGGAGGTACGTGGAGTCCCAGCCGTCAGCGGCGTAGTTGCCGGAGGTAGAGATACCACTGTCTGGGTCAGCAGGGTCCGTCCTCTGGGTGAGTGACGAGTTCATACCTGTAGACACCGGTGGCATTGGCATTCCAGATATCCACCACTGCCCCCTTCACAGGCTTGCAGGTGTTGACGTCGATGTACTGCACCTCAAGGGTGAGGTCAACACCGTCGCAATACTTCTCCTCCTTGACGTTCTGGCGCAGGATCTCTCCCCAGACGTAGTATGGGCCGTCGGTAACGGTAGGGGTTAGGATAGCACTGGTGTTGCCGCCGAAAATACGTGTTTCGGGCGTGTTGGCGGAGTAGTCGAGGATATCGGTCTTGTTGTGGTTGATGGCTTCCCACTTCTCGAGTGCAGCCAGATCACGACGCCACTTGTGAGCATCTTGAATGTCAGCTGGCTGGGAGCACGACGAAATGTAGAGGTCACTTACTAGCTGTGATGCCCTTGCTCTGACGGAGCTGGCGGGCAGTGCGGGCACGACGAGCGACATTGCGCTGGTTCAGCTGCTGAGCCTCGGTGGTGCTAGCACAAGCGTCCAGTGCCCGCTTGGCCGCAACGGCATATGCATCGCGAGCGCGAATCTCCCGCTTCAGGGCGCGAGCATCGTGGACTTCGCCGGGGTGGGCGGCGGCAAGAGTGGCAGCCGCGACGAGGAAAAGCTTGGAAAAGTGCATCTTCTTTTGATATCAGACAGTAGACTCTGAAGGACTGCTTGTGTGTCATACTGGCACAACAATGGGCAGCATTTTATACTCCTTTGGTTGCTATCTTCCTGAACACGATGGCCCTAGCCGCGTCATCGTCTCCAGACTCAATGAGCGCAGGACCACGCAACGGGGGCATATGTTGCCGACGGTACCTAGCTTAGACTTGAAGAGGCGTAATCCGCGATCAGCGATTGATTCACGATGCTTGATGATAGCTTGGCTGGGTCAAGCCGCGCTGAAGAGGCGTAATGTGGGGTCTTGGCGCCGCGTATATGGGATCCGCTCTCATGAAGCATCCGCAATGATGGGGAAGAGACGAAGGGAAATGATCGACAAGGGCGACGAATCATGAAACAGGTATTATTTTCCGTTAGCTATGGATCTCGGGGTGCTGCCGTTGGCTTGTCCTCTTCTGGTTTGGTAGTAGACGTATACAAATCACGAAGACGACTCCCGCCAGCTGTGCTTATGGAGTATAGGTGAGCCCCGGTTAGAGAACAGAATAAGCATGCGCATATCGTAGGTGATCATAGGTCAACTTCCTTTGCATATTTCAGGTAAGGTCAAAAGTAAATCGAGAGATAATGTCGAACTATATATAGTATTAAGGTGCCCGAAGCTTAACATACTTTATTGAGCGCGAGTGGGGTTGTATATTCAGTCGTCTATGGAATTCTTGGACCGAGTCGATGGAGAGGACGCTCCACACGTTCTTGTCGCAGTCTGTTTCGAGCCTGAAGCTGAATGTAGCAGCTACAAGCTGACGTATAAAGCAAAGCAGACGGAATGAATGCCAAGTCGGCTGGATTGAATTTGTCTATCTCATAGGGAAGAAACCTGCCTCGGTGACAATATGTGTAAATGAATAGGCCGCAATTAGGCAGCATCGATAAGTGATATTCCGATCACCGACAAATCGGAGAGATCAGGTAGTTGACAGCACTGTCTTTTCCTATCTCTCTCATAGTCATCAAATTGAACAGACCAGGTTAGGAGTATGGGATGTCCGGGCTAGTCGACGACATTGCTTTCAAGCTGTGCAGCTTCCATCCTTCTGAGTTCGGTCAGTCCGAGTCAAATTGACCTGGAGAACCAGTAAGCACAGAAAACGGGTAAACTAATGTCAGCTATTCTAGTACTATCTACAAATCCTTCTATGCTAGGTGTTTCACTCTATTCTTGCCCCTGTGGGTTTAGGCAATTCGCCTCGCGCCTAGCTTCGTCCTTGAACTATCTTAGGGATGCAGTCCTCATTCGTCTTACGAATCTCACCATTCTTCCGATTCAAACGTAGCACAAGAAAGGAAACCGGCAATTAAGAGTAAGTTTTGCTCTGTCGCCGGCAGAGCCACCTCATGACCACTGCGATTATAATTTGACACACATTCAAGGGTACGCCGCTTCTCCTGCACTTACGGCTTAGGTTCTCTATTAAGAGGATAAACTCTAAGCCTCGGCCAAGTGACATCGCATTACTGGATGACTATCTCTCGCTTTACGACCTGGAGCCGGATGTCCTCTAGTGCTTCAACATCTACCGCTGTGACCACAGCAATGACAAGGCGTGGTAGCGCATGCTGCACCTTATTCACGAAATTGTCTGAGACACGCTAGAGATCAATGAATTGATGGATCTGTATTCGCGTTACGCGCTGTTTATAGTGGATGATAAGGAGAGCTTGGAAGGAGCAACGTCTTATGATGTTAGAGACTGTTTCATCGCTTCGGTAGCTGAGGAATTGCCACGGGTTATATTGCGAATGGAGTTCTTTGCACGCGAGGAATTCAGCACGACCGGCCTCTATTAAGAATGGACTTTGGGCACATGATATAACTTTTGTCTGTTTGTGGACGATATTTGCATAGAGTCCGTAGACGTGATGAAGTATCCTGGGGTGAAGTTACTCTGGTGACAGGGGGCCCACTGCAACCCCACGACCGAAACTATGCCGTGCATTCAGACTTTGGGGATGGTGAGACTGACGGAGACGACGAGGATGCTTGGCTGGATGTACATGAGTGTGATTGACTATATGCGTTACTGCAATGTTCTGAATGAGTACGACTGGTGGTTCGATTTGTATGCGCGGCTACCAGACATGATCGACGTGCATGAGCGACTTCCAGGGTCTGGGAAGGGCCGAATCGTCTATTGCGCAAGACGGCGTATGCGGTCACGGCTACGTCAATCCAGATACGCTTCCGGGCTGGGGAGTGGACTGTCGTTCCTGTGCCGACTGACTCATTGAGCTTGCCGAGGGGATATTTGCTTACGAGGGAAAAGGTGGGCATTGGGGTTGGGGTGCCGGTGGCGGTTGGATTGCTCATGAGGGTGTATTTTATTTCTGTTGTGGGGGGAGGAGGAGGCAGGAAGGAGAGGGTTGTTACGGTGACGGATACAGGCCTGGACCTGGACCTGGACCTGGACCTTCCTCCGCCATATCCTGGGTTGGACGATGGATGGTCTACAAATGAGGTTCAGTGTGGATGCCGTCGGTAGAGCTTTTGGGTATTCGCGTGGTCCGCGGCGAGGATGAGCGAGGTGCACGAGTATACCACGGTCCTGGATTTTAATGCACGTCCCGAATGAGCGGTCTCGTACGTAGCGAGTAAGGACCGCATCCTCGTGGCGCTGGGCGAATTCATCGGCATGCAATGTCGTTCAACGCGGCGCATTGGGCAGACCTGTTGTCAGCCATCCACCATAATGGTATCTGACGGGACAGGAGTTGGGTACAGCGTCGTGGGCGTGCAGTACGTTACAGCTGCAGTTAGTAGAGCAAAAAGGCAGGACGCCACGGAAGAAAAGAAAGAGTATGAAGCATGTCCTTTCGCTGGTATTATCCAGATCAAGTTCAACGGTATTTCTCAGATCGAGTCATGCCAAAGCAATCGTCGAACACCCGTCATGCTACATACTAAAAGTCTCTCACTTACCTGCCCTGGTCCTCCTATCTGTCTTCAGCGTTCGGCTCACTGTGACAGCCAATGCCTAAGCAGAAGCAACCTCAGTCTCCGGGGAGCTAACATCGTCCGTAATATCCGAGCTGTCGTCCACCTCCTTGAGATTGCCAAACCAGTCGTTCCGGGACTTGCGCCACCATTCCTCTAGCGCAATGACTGTGATGCCAGCCATGATGACAATGCAGTAGTTGAACAGGCTTGCATCCCCGTCGATAGCACGATCACCATACTGCGGAGCGCACAGCACTGAAAAGGCGAAACTGTTCCAAATAAAGGTGACCACAGCGCAAAGTACTCCCGCTCGGCCCAGATCCCAGAAGCCTGGTCGAAAGGACTTGCGGGTGATAAAGGCGCGGCCAAAACCGACCAAGCCATATGCGGCAATGGAACCAGCTGCAGAGGTAGAGGTCAGGCTGTAGAACGCAACCTGGGAAGGCAACTGGGTGCAGAGGAGGAGAGCGGCGCATGTGGAGATAAAGATAACCGCGTTATGGGGCTGTTTGCTCTTCGACACGCGGCAGAGTACATTGCTGAAAGGGAAAACGGAGTCTCGCGCGATGGCAAAGACCAGTCGGGAAACGGCGACAAGGGAGATGGAGGTGTTCAGAACCGCTCCAATGATTGCGACTGTTGTTGCGACGGCGTGAGCATGGGGACCCAGAGCCAAGGCATACATGTTGATAAATGGCTGTGGCACACTGGTGTCGTAGAATGTTTCGATCGGGGGCATGCAGAACAGGAAGAGGATGATAATGGGGAAACCACAGAGGGCTGAGGCCACGGTCGACCAGAACACTCCTTTGGCGGCGGATTTCCTGGCCGTGACTGTTTCTTCGGCGACATGGCCAGATGCATCCTGACCGACGAGACAGCTGGCGGGCAGATACCAGGACAGAACCCAGTTCAGGCTAGGGGCTGTACCTCCTCCGTTGTAAGTGGAGGTGAAGACATACTCGGCGGACCGGAAGCCATAGGTTTTGGAGACTCCGATGGGCAGCCAGATCATATTCAGGAGAATGTCAACCACGATCACGATGAAGCCTGCGCGAAAAACCCATGCATAGGTGCGGGGCGGGAGGAAGTTCAGCGAAGTTGCAAGCGCCAGGAACAGCAACGACAAAGCCCAGGCAACCGCGCGAGCCTTGACGTCTGATGTTTCATACGGCATCGACGTGTTTGGGTTGAAGGCCACCACTTCGGAAATGACATAGTTGGCCACTCCGAACGAGTCGGTTGCCAGGAATGAAGTCCAAGCGACCAGCGTCCACGCCGCAACAAGAAAAGACACAAACCGGCCGATCTTGCCGCCTCCCCACGAACGGAAAGCCCAGTAGTAGATCGATCCTGCAGCAGGATAGGTGGAACAGGCCTCTGCCAGGGTGGCAGCAGTGATGATAGCCACGATACTTCCAGAAATCCATGAGCTCCACCTTCTTACCGTCAGTTAAATACGAGAAAAACGATAATAAAGAGGACATACATGGCAGCTGGTCCACCAGCACTGAGCGCGATGTAGAAAAGCACACGGATACCGCCGATGCAGTACAGCGCGGAGAAGGAGCAGGCAAAGTTGTCGAATGCACCCCATGCGCGGGCCAGCTCGGATCGATAGCCCAGTTTCAGCAACTGCAGGTCATCGTCGTCTTCTGCAGCATCATTGGTCATGGGTCGTTTCTCTTGGCTCTCTTGGCCTTCTTGGCCGAGGAATTGGGCAACAGGGGTAGTGGCATCCATGGCTTGTTTGACAGTTCGCAATGGAGCAACAAGCTTTGCTCACAGTAACTGAATGAGTCGTGACAATCCTGCTGCGAGATTGATGGAGAAAAGAAACTGGAAGAAAAGATCAAGCCAGCAGCATCAAGAAGAGACTTGATTTTTTTTTTTTGAACCTTAATAAGGATTAGGTTATTGTGCCTTGCAAATATCGCTAACTGACCAATCACAGGGGAGTACACTTGATGCTTCATATTTCAGGCATTTAGTTGTCCCAATCGTATGGAACAACAGAACGACGACATCAGAACTAGGATATCTTGTACTAGTGCAGGGTCTTAATGTCATTGTACAAGCACTGGATGAGACGGCTCCTTCCCTTCTATCCGCGAGTGAAAGATAGTAGTTTGTGGGAGGATATCATCGCCCCAAGTCTTCATTCAGCAGAGCACCTAGTAACCTGCACAGGGGATAGATACTAGAGACGACGTGAGTCCTATTGTCTGATGTCACCACTTCCATTTTGTCATCCAAGATTGTTTATGACCCTGTCCTAGCAAAACCAGGAAACAGCTGTGGCATGCGTCCTCAGCCCACGCATCCGTGGGGGCAGACTTTGCGGAGGCGTGGGGGTGCAATGTTCAAGGTTCAGACGGGCTGAGACGGCAAACTCTGAGAATGCGGGGGACTTTTCCGGGGACTGGGAATCGGTCAGATGGAGCAGACTACCGTGCTACTAAACAGTATATCGGCACGAATCTCATTAGCTCATTCAACAGCCGGCTAAGCTCGGACCGCACGAACGTGAATGGCCCAGACTCACTGCCGAATGCTTCAACCCCGTGGAGAAATCAAGGACACTGCGTGGGGGTGCATATGCCTATTGATATAAAGAGCTCAGGTCGACCTGTTGAACAGAATTCCCCAACGGCCGGGCATCTGGCCTTCTATTGCTTATACTCAGTGCAACATGACCTCCAAACCAGCCTCCTTCCATGACGAAGGCCAAATGGCCAAACCCACTGGCCTCGACGCCATCCACACCGTTCGGATTCCCCTGACCGAAGAAGACAGCAAGCGCATCTGTCGCAAGACTGACCGTGTTATTCTCGTTATTCTGGTTTGGGTATACTTCCTTCAGATTCTTGATAAATCTGTGCTCGGATATGGCGCCACATTTGGCCTCCAAGCCGACGCTCACCTCACGGGGAACCAGTACTCGCTTGTTGGATCAATCGCCCCTATCGCTCAGCTGGCTTGGCAACCATTTTCTTCGTTCTTGATTGTCAAAGTACCGCATCGGATTCTGATGCCTTCCTTGGTCCTCGGATGGGGCATCGCGCAGACATGCATGGCGGCATGCCATAGCTTTGGCGGCTTAATGGCCACGCGGTTCTTCCTTGGTCTTTTCGAGGCTGGCTGCTTGCCACTGTTCTCCATCATCACCAGTCAATGGTACCGTCGTGCGGAGCAGCCGATCCGTGTCGCGGCCTGGTACAGTACCAACGGGTTGGCGACGATCGTGGCCGCCGCCCTGTCCTACGGCCTGGGACATATCAAGTCGGATCTGCTCAAGGAGTGGCAGATGTAAGCTACATCACCCAATATTTGAAATCACAACTAATCAGGCCAGTATCTTCCTCTTCGTCGGCCTCATCACGGTCATCTCCGCCCCAATCGTCTACTGGAAACTGGACAACGACATCGTCTCCGCCCGCTTCCTGACCGAACAAGAGAAACTGCAAGCGATGGAACGGCTCCGCGCGAACCAGACCGGCGCCGGAAGCCGCGAATTCAAGCTCTCGCACATCGTCGAAGCCGGCCTCGAGCCAAAGACATACCTCTGGATTGCGATGGCCATGCTCCTCAATATCGGCGCCAGCGTGACCAACGTCTTTGGCCCGCTGATCCTCAAGGGTCTCGGTTTCAACAAGTACACCACCACCTTGCTGAACATGCCGTTCGGTGCGCTACAATGGATCGTGATCCTGCTGGCTAGTTACCTGGCGCAAAAGGCCCGGTTGAAGGGCGCGGTCCTGGCGGCGTTCATGGTACCAGTTGTGGCCGGGCTAGCGATGCTGCATGCCCTGCCGCGCAGTGGGTCGGTGCAAGGCGCGCTGATGGCGGGATACTATCTGCTTGCGTTCCTGTTTGCCGGCAATCCGCTGGTGGTGTCGTGGATGGTTGGCAATACGGCCGGTATGACGAAGAAGTCGGTCGTGATGAGTCTGTACAATGCAGCCAGTGCGGCTGGTAATATCGTCGGACCGCTTCTGTTCAGCTCGGCGGATGCGCCGACGTACCATCCTGGCCTGCAAGCTTGTTTGGGGATTTTTGTGGCGCTGGTCGCTGTTGTCTTGATCCAGTGGGCTGACCTGGTCCTGTTGAACAAGCTGCAGGAGAAGAAACGGGTGCGGAATGGGAAGCCGGCCAAGATGGTGGATCGCTCGATGGAGGATCACTATCACGGCGCGGGAGGCGATGAGGAGGGTATGCAGGAGGAGATGGGCAATAATGGACTGCTGGATGTCACTGACCGGGATAATGACGAGTTTGTATATATCTATTAGTATTGAGATAGGCCAAAGACATTCCATCCATCATCTCATATGCGGTAGCCTAGCCGTGTCTCCAACGAGGCCCAGTGATTGGCCGCCTCTATTGCCGAATACGGGCAATAAGAGGCATCAGGATAATTCCCGCTTGGTGCGCCCCACCCGTCACATGAGGAGCTCACGTATTAAAACGTCATCTCCTCCCTTTGTCCAGAGATGCATCAAATCAGGAAATATTCAATATGAGGTTTTCTCAAGCCATGTCAAAGGCAGCTTCAACAGTAGGACAATATGCTGGCAGATACATCTATCCCGCAGAAACCTCTCGTCATCTCGCTACCCTTCTGGGCTTCCCATCGAGACACTCGATCGCTTCAGCCTACTATGACAGCGCATGTACCGATATAGCCAATCTCGCCTCTGCAATCTCAGCGTTTGAGCCTGTTCGGCTGTACTCCCGACCTGAGGACCTCCCCAAAGCTCAGTCGATGGTCAACCAGGCCATTCCCAGGTATACCGGCAACGCCGCGAATATCTCCTTCATTCCGCTTGCAACAAATCATCTCTGGGTTCGGGATACCGGACCTGTATATGTGCTCGGCACTGGAGATGCCCGCTCACGCCGGTTCGCCATCAACTTTCGCTTCCGCGAGTGGGGAAAGAGGGACGACATGGAGAACCAAGACCGCGCGCCCGATGGGCTGGACTGGCCTATCATGAACACTGAGCAATTGGACGAGAACGCCACCTTTGCCAGGAGAGTTATAGAGACTGATGTCTTTCCTGCTCCGGTGACACTCGTCGAGTCCAAAGTCTGTCTGGAAGGCGGCGCATTAGTCGTGGACGGGGAGGGTACCCTCCTAGCCACAGAAAGCAGTATCATCAACGACGACCGCAATGCAGGCCTCTCGCGGAGCGAGATCGAAGCAGAGCTACAACGTTTGCTGGGGGTGGAGAAAATCATCTGGTTCCCTGGCCGGAAAGGTCTCGATATTACCGATGTGCATGTCGATGCTGAGGTGAGCTTTATCCGGCCAGGTGTGGTTGTTCTCTCGAGGCCCCATGCGAGTGTGCCTCGGCCCTGGCTTGATGTTTACGAGGAAATCCGAGAGATTCTCACTCAGTCAGTGGACGCAAAGGGCCGTCCGTTTGAGATTCATACGGTGGACGAGCCGGACCCTGCTCTTCTCGGGCATTCGTCCTATGACGAACCGGCGACTAACTACGTGAACTTTTACTTTGTCAATGGCGGCTTGATCCTGCCTCAGTTCGGCGATGAAGTGAGAGATCGGGCGGCTGTGGAGACATTTCAGAAGCTATGTCCTGGCCGAGTGATACGGCCTGTGTATGTGCATGCGCTTCCATTAGCTGGTGGTGTGATTCATTGTGCGACTCAGCCTGTTATTGCTGTGCAGGAGGACTAAAGGCTGTAGGATAATGATCAAACAGGAGGTAGGAACGACATAATTCAATCGCTGGCAAAGAAGCGCCTGTTTTGTTCTTGTACCTCTTGCCCTAGGTGGTAGCATCTACCTTCTCCTGTGCACTCCCACACTTTGTTGCGGCAGCAACACAGTGCATACACATGAGTAACAGTCGGGAACGCCAGGCATGGGGTCACACTTGCCGCTCTGAGACTGGCCCTGATTCCGGCACCAAGTATCACATTCCCGGGGTCCTTGCTACGGCTGCCACACCGGGGGGAGCACATTTGGGGGGAGGTTAGGGTGGCGCTCAGCAGGAGGGTAGCGAGGATGCTGGCGAAATGCATTGTGTTCTTGATAGTGTTAGATTGGTCGGAGATAGAGCATTCGAGACGTACCTTGGATTGCTTCAGACAAGGCAGACTTAGTAGGGTAGGTATTGGATTTTTGTACTGTTTAACATATATGTTACCTACTGTAACTACCTCTATAAACTTCCTATCTATATATAGTAGAGCTTAGTTGCTATAGTAGTATAGTGATATTAATGGAGATAAACTAGTTTAGCCTTATAGGTCTATAATTCTAATAGTCATTAGTACCAACTGGCAACTGCAAATTCGATATTTCCAAATATTGGTATCTCAGCCGCATTCGGTAAAAGCTCCAGCTAATAAGGCGGTGTCACACTAAGCACTGCTTTAGAGACACAGAAGGTGGACTTACAATCCTATATAGGACTGTGCTTAGGTGCTAGACAAGCTTTGGATGGGAAATCATATTAATGATTTATTTTTATCAGAGGAGTGGTGGTCTGAGCTTCTATGGGGGTCTGGGTTTATCATTAAAATAGAGCCTATTTCTTACCACTTCTCTCTATTTAGGAAAGGCTATTCTTTTGAAGCCCACTACCTCATACTACTGAGGAAGGTTGAATAAGAGCCACTTCTAGGGCCATATCCACTACCTATATATCTGAAACGAACAACATTGAGCAGGACGGAAAGGCTCTTCACTAAAAATCTGGTAAGTGAAGACCTGGAGCGGCTGCTTGGAGGTATAGAAGATACTAAGAAGGTTTTATATATTGGAAAGGACTTTACTTATAAGGCTTTTGAATTAACTTCATTCTTTGAGTTTGAATGCTAACCTCCATACTAGATGGATGTTTCAAGCGCCATAAAAGTTGATTCATTAGCACTTTCAAAGACTTACCATTCGCCCCGGACACTGTAAATATAGTGCTCACCTTATGGCAAATGGATAATGTGCTAGATATAGAAAAAGCCATCCAATAAATGACTGGTGTAGTCAGTTAATCAGATTTAAAAATAGTGATTATTCAGGGAGGCCTTATAACAAAGTAGTCTAACTTTTGAGCTCAGTCAGTTAGTCTCCTCTAGTAGGCCACCAGGGACATATTCTACACTCTGCAATAGGGTGTCTCACAAAATACAGGTTTAGTAATACTACTTTGCACCAGATTAACACCACCTATAAGTTCCAGGAAGAGAGCCTTTAGGAGCATTGTACTGCAGCAGCGGAATTCCTAGCTGAAATTTGGCTAAACATCATTCCCAACAGGACGTAAGTCATCAAGAAAGCACTCACGGAACGGATGCACCTTCTTTTAAGAGGCGATAACCATATGGTTTCTCACGGAATGGTTGCGATAGTTGCCCGCCCTTCTTGTAACTAAGATGAACTGATTTTCCATAGGATATTCTCATTTTTCAACAATAGGATTTCATGCATCTACTGACATGGAGGTTTTTGTACTGCATGTTGCATTTTGAGCACGGGGAGGAAGCAGGTACAACAGAGGAAAAACAATACAATACAGAAGTCCTCCACTCTTCTTGGGTGACAGCCATTTATGCACCATGCAAGGAAACAACTCAGGATTGTACCAAGCTACCTCAAGCCATCGTTGTTAACTATATCCAAGTCTCAAAAGCTCCTGAATAGACGCAAATCGCGGAAATCCCTCACCGCTTATGGCGTGGGCCAGCCATTCTCACTGATGGTACGGAAAAGGATTCCGGATGTAGTCTGCCAACCACCACCCCTTGCTGGGTCAACAAACACGACTACCACTTCCTCCCAGCCCCGTTATCATCCCCTGGTGCCGCGAGATAGCGCAACCCCGTTTAATCTCATCCGGCCTCCAGTGCCAATGCTTCTAGCTTTACTTCCAATAAGTTCGTGTCAGCTACCGTATCATTTCTCAAGACCTCCACTTGGGCTTTTGCTCAGAAGTGCTCACTCGGCCATCGCCATGATTTCTGGGATCTTATCGAGCCGAGTCCCGCCCAAGAAGCCGGTATTTCTCCATTTGCGGTCATTGGGGAGCTTCATTACCGTCATCGTGGCAGTTTCCACTTTTACAGTGTGATATCTGTTGTTCCCTCTTTGGCTATCTTGCCGCGACTGATTCTGGAACCAAAGGATATGTTTCTGTACGGGTTGGTGCGATTGTATAGCTAAACTCGCTGTATTCTCACAGATCTAACTGATTCCCGGCATTGCAGATTGTTCCTGGACTCCTACTGCCCTAGAACAGAGAGTTAGATTTGCAAGAGGTGATGGTCTGTGCTCCATTTATCCTTGTCCTAGGAATGATAACTAACCTGTATGAATTTCAGAACAACTGTGGACATCTAACTTGCTCGCTCTTTATGGCGCTGCATTATTCATTTCTGCTCGTCTGTGCTTCCCTTATGGGCTCCCTACCTTGTCAAATCTTCGAATTAATAAAATATATAGCCATCTCGGGCTACATAGCGGATCGAATGGGATCACGACGATGGCCATATCTCACCGGCCTTATTGCCCTGGCAGCCTCTACTACAGTGCTCTGTGTCGGTACCTCACTTGGCCTGTGGATCGCCGGACGTCTTCCAGGGCGCATCCGCAGGAGTTTTCTGGACGGTGGGTTTGGCGCTACTTGTCGATTCGGTTGAGAAAGAACAACTTGGGCAGTCCTTAGGTTATATAGGCATGGCTATGAGCTTGGGCTCCCTGACAGGACCACTACTTGGAGGTGTGATCTACCAGAATGGTGGTTATTACGCCGTATTTGGCACCGCATTCGGGTTGATTGGGGTTGACATCTTGTTGAGAATTGCTGTTATTGAAAAAAAGCACGCGAGACGATGGCTGGAGAATGGCGGGCTTCAGGAAATCACGATGAGTGCTCGAAGAAAATCAGAGACCAAGGCGACGCTCAATATCACATCCACTCCCGACGCACCTCGAGATGAGGAGAATAATATCTGCAGGCCAGTGAATGCTACTCGGGATGCTCCATCTACAGACCTTACTTCGACTGTCAACTCCGGGCGCCGTCTCCCTACTGCTCTCATTCTCCTTTTCTCCCCGCGCCTACTTTGCGCCTTCTGGGGTTTCCTCATAGTAAGCCTTCTTCTTGGTGCATTCGACGGCGTCCTTCCCCTCTTCGTCTTCGACATCTTCCACTGGAAACAGGCAGGTCAAGGTCTGATCTTTATTCCCCTTTCTGTACCCCAGCTCGTCGAGCCCGCTGTCGGAGCTCTCATCGACCGGCTTCCGCATTCCCGACGCTATCTGGCATTCGGGGCGTTCCTCTGCACCATTCCACCCTACGTCTGTCTTCAATTCATCTTACATGACTCCATAGAGCATAAAGTGCTCCTCTGTGGGTTACTTTTCACTTTGGGGCTTTGTATCGCCTTTATTCTTCCTGCAGCAGGGTACGAGATCAATGCGGTGGTCGTTGAGAAGGAGCAAATAGATCCGCAAGCTTTCGGAAAAGGAGGTGCTATAGCACAGGCATATGGCCTGACACCTGACAAATTTAGCATTTGCTCTGGGTAGCCTTGTCGGTCCTATCTTGGCAGGTTTTATTTGGGATAGCGCAGGGTGGGCAACGATGACTTGGGGTCTTGCCATCATTAGTGGGGTATCGGCTTTACCGGCCTTGCTCATGTCAGGCCGGTGGTCTGACATAAGACAAGAGATAGAAAGGAACGAATATGCAAATTGAATGGCGTGGAGGCATAAATATGCTTACGCACCAGTTAGGATTGAATTGATGGGTACAGTTTTGCTATATACTGACAGATAACCGGTCTTCCGAAGCCACGAAGAGGTCTGAGAATATAACGAATAGATTTACAATCTAATCCAACGAAAGGATAGAAGAAATCTAGCTGCATATGTACACATGAAATTCTATGCCACAGGGACCTTTTGGAAGACATGTCACTAAAGCCACTGGTGTTGACCCAGTCATCGAAAGCCGGGAGAGAATCACCCACAATGTGGTCTGTCGTCTTGAGGGCGATATAGCACGGCACACCGAGGCGAGACCGACGGATATAGGCAACAATATCCTTTACAGAAGGAGATGTTTGGGTCAAATCGAGCCCGCCGTCTGTAAATGCTGGTCCCCAGGGCGGTTCGATGATGTAGATGTCCTTCGGGTGTGGGTCGGTGGGTAAATTTGCCAAAAGTTTGCGGTAATCTGTTAAAAATAACTGAAAATTCACGGGAACTGTTGATTTGGATGTCTTTCGGAGGAGACTGAGGTTGTGCAGAGTGGCCTTATATACAGAGGGGTCCATCTCGGATGCGAACACCGGACAACCAAGGCGACATCCCACATGATAGGATATGTTCCCAGAGCCACAGAAAAGATCGAAGATAGCTCCCTGGCCTTTATTACCGGGCCCTAGTTCAGGCTCTGCCGGCATTCCCATGAGGTTTTGAAATTGCATGGCAAGAGCATCGACGTGCGCGTCTATAGACGCTTCAACTACTGTACGGCCCAGGATATTGAAGTCATGTGCCGCCAGCTCGGAGGCGGTGAGACCGTAGAGACTGAACCAGGACTCATCACCATATATTAGCTCCCCAGCCATGCACAGCTGTTTGGCGGTGGCGAGTTGGTCCCGGTATAATCCAAGCATAAGGTCTCGGAAGGCGAAATAGCGTCTAGATTGATCTGATCCGGTAAGAGTTGGGTCGGCCATACTTGATGTCAAGAGGCATGGGAAAGCTGAAGGCGATGGTTGTTGATTATTTCTTCCTACTACATTCCAAGCGACGCTGCGATACTGTTAAATATGTGAGGACCTTTCATTGATAGTAAGGAGCTAGGCCAAAGTGGGCCGGTGTAAGTCAGCGAAAGTTGATAGTTCAATTATGGCGACGGGGATGCATCGGGGCTACTAGTAGTAACTGCATAATACGCAACCAAAGATTCAAAGAGCAGACAAAGAGCATGGTGTTCCAAAATTTATGCATCTGCAGACATAATCACGCGTCCTTGCAGAAGCCCACATATATCCAGGTTCTGCGGTATACAGGTAACGATAATTCGATAGTAGTCTGTCACAAATAGGCGGTCTGTAGACGATGCCTGTACTTGCTGTCCCCGTTCACTTCACCCCGCAGGTCGATAGTAGAAGAAAGCATGCTGGCAGAGACACGTGAAAAATTCCACACACATGTGTTGCGATTTCTATCTATCCCCTGTCTACACTGCTGGTGCAGGGTTACTGTATACTGTGACATAGGGACCTTTTTTTTCCTAGCATGGGCTACACGGTATTCATCGTCAGTTTTCTCACTAGCGCCCGAAAATTCGCGAAATAGCAACTGCCTGGAGTTTATGGGAAACTTACTATGCATTTCCTTGGATCATCTGATGAGTGGTGATATGACCAGACCAACCAATCTCCTCAAATAGGGATATGAGGACCTCGGTAACAACCTTATCATAATTCTCACGGAGAAAACAGGCGTGGGGGCAGGGTCGGGATTTGTTGGTGATAATTCCCAGTTCCAGTTCGAAGTCACGTACTCCCTGCAAGGGCTTCGAAAGATGACGTTCCACAATGTTTGGAC